GAGTCCCATACAGAATAAACCCAAGGAGAAACACACCAAGACACATACTAATCAAACTAACAGAATAAACACAAAGAAAGAATATTAAAAGCAGTAAGGGAAAAGCAACAAGTAACATACAAGGGAAACCCCAAATGTTTAACAGCTGATCTTTCAGCAGAAACTCTGCAGGCCAGAAGGGAATGGCAGAATATATTTAAAGTACTGAAAGGGAAAATTCTACAACCAAGATTACTGTACCCAGCAAGGATCTCATTCAAAATTGATGGAGAAATAAAAAGCTTTTCAGACAAGCAAAAGTTAAGAAAAGTTAAGAGAATTCAGTACCACCAAACCAGCTTTACAACAAGTGTTAAAGGGACTTACATAGTTAAGAAATACAAGAGAAGAAAAAAGATCTACAAAATCAACCCCAACAATTAAGAAAATGGCAACAAGAATGTATGTATCAATAACTACTTTAACTGCAAATAGATTAAACGCTCCAACCAGAAAACAAAGACTGGCTGAATGGATAAAAAAACAAGACCCATATATATGCTGTCTACCAGAAACCCACTTCAGACCTAAAGACACATATAGGTTGAAAGTGAGAGGATGGAAAAATACATTCCATGCAAATGGGAAGCAAAAGAAAGCTGGAGTAGCAATCCTCATATCAGACAAAATAGAGCTTAATATAAAGAATATTACAAGAGATAAGGAAGGACAGTTCAGTTTAGTTCCATCCAGTCACTCAGTCATGCTCAACTTTTTGCAACCCCATGGATGCACCAATTGTCCATCACCACTTCCTGGAGTTTACCCAAACATGTCCATTGAGTTGGTGATGCCATCCAACCATCTCATCCTCTGTCATCCCCTTCTCCTTCCGCCTTCAATCTTTCCCAGCATCAGGGTCTTTTCCAATGAGTCAGCTCTTCGCATCAGGTGGACAAAGTACTGGAGCTTCGGTTTCAGCATCAGTCCTTCCAATTAATATTCAGGGTTGATTTCCTTTAGGATTGACTGGTTTGATCGCCTTGCTGTCCAGGGGACTCTCAGGAGTCTTCTCTAGCACCACAGTTCTTCTCCCTTAGGGTCCAACTCTCACATCCGTACAGGACTACTGGAAAAACCATAGCTTTGATTATATGATGTTGTTATTAATATGCAAACTGAGAGGCATGGACCAAGCAGTATTACACAGCTCTCATTGTATCGTAAGAACAGATCAAACCCTAGCCGGGAGCCAGAATAGGGTGCCAGAAAGGAAGGAGGTGCTGAGACAAAGGCTTTTGTTTCCAAATTTCGCCTCGGGTCACCCCTTGGAGATGCTCTCCCGGGAAGGGAGCACTCCAGGCAGGCGGGTCGCCAGGTGTCACTGCCTGTCACGGTCTGCTCTCCAGAGGCAGCAGCAGTGGGAACAATTACCAGTTTCCTTTAGATTGGTGGATTCATGATTGAAATTATTCAAAGGGAACTCTGGAAATGTTAAGTGGAGAAAAGCAAGAGGGAAACCAGAAAACCAGCCACTGCTCCCTCCCAGGGCATCTTTTTCTACAGCTGGCTACAGCCTTGCTTAGGGAGAGAACTGCCAGATGTCCTCAGGATTTAAGATTTCTGTTCATTAAAAATAATATCAGGGGACTTCCTTGGTGGTCCAGTTGTTAAGACTTTGACTTCCAATGCAGGATCACAAGCTAAGATGCCACATGCCTCACAGCCAAAAAAACCAAAATATAAAACAGAAGCAATATTTAACAAATTAAATAAAGACTTTAAAAATGGTCCACATCAAAAAAAAATCTTAAAAAAATAATATCACAGCTATAAATGCCCCATTTTCCTTCAAACTGAGTTTTATTATCTTCTGATAAAACTCACACAACAATGTACTATAATAAATAATATAATTTGCATATAGATTGTAGTTTAACTTTCAAATATTGCATGTTTTCATTTGATCTATACATTTTTATCAGGGATATTTGACATAATTGTTGACACCACTTGGCAGCAGGGAACAGGTCCTCATCCGGGTCTCCAATCTTTGCTTTTGCTGAGTCCTGCGGGGTGGTCCCTGGGCACCTGGTCAGGCAGGGCTGCTCTCTGCCCACTACCCAGCTGCCACCCCCAGGCCTGCTCTTCACCCCCAAGCTGAGANGATACTGTACATAGAAAACCCTAAAGATAGTATCAGAAAATTACTAGAGCTAATCAGTGAATTTATCAAAGTTGCAGGATACAAAATCAATACACAGAAATCACTTGCATTTCTATATACTAACAATGAAAATACAGGAAGAAATTAAGGAATCAATCCCATTCACCATTGCAACAAATAGAAATATCTAGGAATAAACTTACCTAAGGAGACAAAAGAACTGTACACAGAAATTTATAAGACATTAATGAAAGAAATCAAATGTGACATAAACAGATGGAGAGATATTCCATGTTCCTGGGTAGGGAGAATCAATATTGTGAAAATGACTACACTACCAAGTGCAATCTATAGGGTCAATGTGATCCCTATCCAATTACCAATGACATTTTTCACAGAACTAGAACAAAAATTTCACAATTCATATGAAAACACAAAAGACCCCGAATAGCCAAAGCAGTCTTGAGAAAGAATGGAGCTGGAGGAAACGAACTCCCTGACTTCAGATTATACTACAAAGCTACAGTCATCAAGACAGTATGGTACTGGAACAAAAAACAGAAATATAGATCAATGGAACAAGATAGAAAGCCCAGAAATAAACCCATGCACATATGGGTATCTTATTTTTGACAAAGGAGGCAAGAATATACAATGGGGCATACAGCCTCTTCAATAAATGGTGCTGGGAAAACTGGACAGCTACATTTAAAAGAATGAAATTAGAACACTTCCTAATACCATACACAAAGATAAATTCACAATGAATTAAAGACCTAAATGCAAGACCAGAAACTATAAAACTCTTAGAGAAAAACATAGGCAGAACACTTGATTACATAAATCAAAGCAAGTTCTATGACCCACCTACTAGAGTAATGGAAATAAAAACAAAAGTAAACAAGTGGGACCTGATTAAAGTTAAAAGCTTTTGCACAGCAAAGGAAATTATAAATAAGGTGAAAACACTACCATCAGAATGGGAGAAAATAACAGCAAATGAAACAACTGACAAAGGATTAATTGACAAAATATACAAGCAACTCATACAACTCAATACCAGAAAAACAAACAGCCCAATCAAAAAATGGGGAAAAGACCTAAACACATTTCTCCAAAGACATACAGATGGCTAACAAACACATGAAAAGATGCTCAACATTGCTCATTACTAGAGATATGCAAATCAAAACTACAATGAGATATCACCTCACACCAGTCAGAATGGCCATCTTCAAAAACTTTACAAACAATAAATGCTGGAGAGGGTGTGGAGAAAAGGGAATTCTCTTGCACTGTCAGTGGGAATGTAAATTGATACAGCCACTATGGAAGACGGTATGGAGATTCCTTAAAAAACTAGGAATAAAACCATCACATGACCCAACAATCCCACTCCTAGGCATATACCCTGAGGAAACCAAAATTGAAAAAGACACATGTATCCATTGTTCACTGCAGCACTATTTACAACCAATGAATGGATAAAGAAGTTGTGGCACCTATACACAACGGAAGATTACTCATCCATAAAAAGGAACAACTTTGAGTCAGTTCTAATGAGGTGGATGAAACTAGAACCTATTACAGAGAGTGAAGTAAGTCAGAAAGAGAAAGATAAATATTGTATTTTAATGGATAGATAGAGAATCTAGAAAAATGGAACTGAAGAATTTATTCACAGGGCAGCAATAGAGAAACAGAGGAGAAGAGACTTATGGACATGGGGAGAGGGGAGGAAAGGGTGAGATGTAACATGGAAACTTATATAACCATGTGCAAAATAGATGGCCAAGGGGAATTTGCTGTATGGCTCAGGAAACTCAAACAGGGTCTCTGTGTCAACCTGGAGGGGTGGGACAGGGAGGAATATAGGAGGGGGGTTTAGGAGGGAGAGGATATATGTATACCTATGGCTGATTTATGATGAGGTTTGACAGAGAACAACAAAATTCTGTAAAGCAATTATCCTTCAATAAAAAATAAATTATTTTTTAAAAAAGGTAAATGATTCAGGACCTTCCTGGTGGTACAGTGGGTGGGAGTCTGCCTGCCAATGCAGGAGACACAGTCTCGATCCCTGGTCTGGGAAGACTCCACACATCACAGAGCAACTAAGACTGTCACCAGAACCACTGAAGCCCATGTGCTGCAACTACTGAAGCCCGAGCACCCGGGAGCCGCCCTGCAGCGAGAGAAGCCACCGCAGTGAGAAGTCCACGTACTGCAACAGAAGGGCCCCACTCGCCGCAGAGAAAGCCCATACGGAGTAACAAAGACCGAGCGCCACCAAAAAAAACAAAGCAGTAAATGATCCAAAGTGGTAATAAATATTAAGGCTGCCAGATAATAAAACCTCTTTAGAAGGTCTGTTTTACCAGTAACAATAATTGCTAATACTTATGAAAGACTTTAAATACTAACTACTTTAAATGTTCATTTTCTCATAACAAGCCTGTTAATACTATTAATACTCTTATCTTACAGATTAAAAAAAAACAAAACCTAAGGTTTAAAGAGAGTCACTGGCCAAGATCACACGGGGATTAGGTGGCAGATCTGAGACCAGATGCTGGTCTGGCTCATATCAAAGTCCAGGCTTTTAATCACGTGATACTTCTGCTTCGTTTTATTTTCCAGTTAAAACATGTACATTATTTAAAAAATAAGGTCAGAGTAAAATCAAAGACCATTTCCTTTCTATTGAAAGAGGTCCTGAGACCTTCAGGGGGTTGGCTGTAACTCTTAGAAATCAGTGTGTTGAGAAGTGGAGGAGACGGATGGCCAACACAGAGATGTCAAGGGCTCGGAGCAGGAGGGAGGGAGCAAACACAGACCCCGCCATGGTACACACCTCTTCGAGTGCTTTGCTTACATAATTCTCCTTCTTGACAGCCTCTTGGAGCTCCATGGCCTGCTGTACGTACATTTTCCCAGCTAGGATTTCATTCTCCAGCATGGACAACTCCTTCAACGAAATGGGCCAGTTCAACCTTTCTAATGCCTCGTTCAAAGCTGCCTTGTTTTCTAAGTACTGCATTGGTTTGTTTGCATCTAACCTAGAGAAGGAAGAAGAAAGATAAACATAATGTGATCATAACAGAAAACATATGGAAAGATGGTTTTTCAGCCAACCCTCCCCTGAGAAACATCTGTCGGAGCAGATGTCAGGTGTTGACAGAATTGCAGCCACGCCTTCTTGTCCATCGGGGCGTTGGTAGTTTGCACAAGTTAGAAATAATCATCTGAGTCATGGGAGGCCTTTTTCCCCATTATTTAATTTGATTGATTTTTTAGAACTTTATTACACGAGTTTTTTTTTTCTTCAACAATTTTTTTTCAGCATGTTTGGAACCTATTCCTTTCTCCTTAGGTCTAACATTTGGCAGAATCAAAAGCAAGTTTCAAAGAGATTTCACACAGCTATGCCTAGCAGTGACTCTGGAAAACAAAGCAAACACTAAACCCAAATATTTGTCTCAGTGCAATAATTCTTCTATTAGCTCATTTTAGCTACCTTTATCTCCTGTCCTCTTGTAAGCCTAAATAGGCCTATACTTTCTGGCTTCACTGATTTGGTTCACAAAGAACAGAAGCCAAACTTTCTATCAGCTGATGAACAGGCTGCACGATTCCAGGGGAAGCTACTGCGGTGTGGAGGGCCCAAGTCCTAAATCCTATTTCCAGTCGCAGTTACTTCTGAGTCAGATATTCATGGAAGGGGGTAAAGAGAGGGCGATGGATAGATTGACTGAGGGAGATATGGGGAGAAGAACATTTCATAATTATCATTCTCTTATTGCTGAAGGTGTCACGTTTTTCCATTTTTTTTAAGATGCTGTGTGTTGGAAGAGCACACTGTAGGCCCAGTACAATCACAGGACCCAATCCACAGACAAACTTGTCTCCAGAAGACGGCAAAAATTCTTATTAAAAATCTAAATGGCAGTGATGTCAGGAAAATGGTAAAATGAGAAACCCCAGGCCTCATTCCCCCACAGAAATGCTGACAATAATATGTGGACAAACTGCCTTTGTGAGAATCCCAAGAAGCCAGTTAAAAGGTACCAGCTCCCCGGGAGTTCAAAGCCGAGAAGAGGGGGCACTGAGTGCGTATTAGGAGCGTCCGCTGCACTTTGCCTGGCCTAGTCCCTCCCCTTTCTTGGCACCTGCCGAGCAACTCAGAGGAAATCAAGTCCAGGCTTCTCCGAAAGAGAAGAGTGGAACATGTATGCAACATTTTGGCCTTCTGTGGGGCTGCTTAAGAGACTGGCTTTTGTCTCACTTGACTAAGAGTGCCAATAAAAATGGCAGCATACTTTGCATGGCAGGTTACTGGCAGGGGAGAGCAAAGGCAAGTTGCATGGCTGGTTACGGCACCAGAGATACTGCAGTACCAGAGAAAGACACCAGGGGGAGAAAAAGATCACCAGCTCCTGAGAAAAGACCGGGGCAAACCTCTTCAACTGGGAAATGACACATACACACCACCTCCACCACCACTCCTAGAGAAGAATTACCCCCAGAAAAGTTGTGAGAGGTTCCCAGAATCTCTAGTCAGAATGATTGGTGAAGGTCTTCCCCTATAAGAAGTCATCTATAAAGACTGGGACAAGTGTCTGCCTTTTCAAATGTCCAGATCTTGCCTAAAAGTACTAAGGAATAAAGAGAAACAGAGAAGAATGGCCTAATCAAAGGAATAAAATAAATCTCCAGAAATCTACACTAAAGAAAAAAGCTATGAATTACCTGATGGAATTGAAAATAGCTGTCTTAAAAATGCTCATTGAGCTCCAAGAGAATATAGACAACTAAATGGAATCAGGAAAATGATGAATGAACATATTAAGAATATCAACAAAGACACAGAAACTATAAAAAGAATCAAACAGAAATTCTGTATCTGAGGAATACAATAACTGAAAAATTCACTAGAGAGCTTCAAAAGGTGACTTAGTAAATCAGAAAAAAAAATCAGAAAATTATGACTATTTTAAGTCATAAATTGTTACAAGAGACAAAGAAGGACATTCAGTTCAGTTGCTCAGTCATGTTTGACTGAGCATGGACTACTGCAGCATGCCAGGCTTCCCTGTCCATCACCAACTCACGGAGCTGACTCAGACTTATCTCCATCGAGTCAGTGATGCCACCCAACCATCTCATCTTCTGTCATCCCCTTCTCCTCCCACCATCATGCTCCTCTTTCCCAGCATCAGGGTCTTTTCCAGTGAGTCAGTTCTTCCCATCAGGTGGCCAAAGTTTCAGTTTCAGTTTCAGCATCAGTCCTTCCAATGAATATTCAGGACTGATTTCCTTTAGGATGGACTGGTTTGATCTCCTTGCAGTCCAAGGGACTCTCAAGAATCTTCTCCAATACCACAGTTTAAANAGTCCTTCCAATGAATATTCAGGACTGATTTCCTTTAGGATGGACTGGTTTGATCTCCTTGCAGTCCAAGGGACTCTCAAGAATCTTCTCCAATACCATAGTTTAAAAGCATCAGTTCTTTGGTGCTCAACTTTCTTTATGGTCCAACTCTCACATCCATACATGACTACCGGAAAAACCATAGCTTTGACTAGACAGACCTTTGTAGGCAAAATAATGGCTGCTTTTTAATATGCTGTCTAGGCTGATCATAGCTTTTCTTCCAAGGAGTAAGCGTCTTTTAATTTCATGGCTGCAGTCACCATCTACAGTGATTTTGGTGCCCCCAAAATAAAGTCTCTCACTGTTTCCACTGTCTCCCATCTATTTCCCATGAGGTGATGGGACCAGATGCCATGATCTTAGTTTTCTGAATGTTGAGTTTTAAGCCGCCTTTCCACTCTCCTCTTTCAATTTCATGAAGAGGTTCTTTAGTTCTTCTTCACTTTCTAATACAAGGGTGGTATCATCTGCATATCTGAGGTTATTGGTATTTCTCCCAGCAATCTTGATTCCAACTGTGCTTCATTTGGCCTGGCATTTCACATGATGTATTCTGCATATAAGTTAAATAAGCAGGGTGACAATATACAGCTTTGATGTACTCCTTTCCTGATTTGGAACCAGTCTGTTGTTCCATGTCCAGTTCTAATTGTTGCTTCCTGACCTGCATACAGATTTTTCAGGAGGCAGCTCAGGAGGTCTGGTATTCCCATCTCTTTAAAAATTTTCCACACTTTGTTGTGATCCACATGGTCAAAGGTTTTGGCATAGTCAATAAAGCAGAAGTTGATGTTTTCTGGAACTCTCTCTCTTTTTCAATGATCCACTGGATGTTGACAATTTGATCTCTGGTTCCTCCGCCTTTTCTAAATCCAGCTTGAACATCTGGAAGTTCATGGTTCACTACTGTTGAAGGCTGGGTTGGAGAATTTTGAGCATTACTTTACTAGCGTGTGAGATGAGTGCAATTGTGTGGTAGTTTACACATTCTTTGGCATTGCCTTTCTTTGAGATTGGAGTGAAAACTAACCTTTTCCAGTCCTGTGGCCACCGCTGAGTTTTCCAAATTTGCTGGCATATTGAGTGCAGCACTTTCACAGTATCATCTTTCAGGATTTGAAGTCGCTTAACTGGAATTTCATCACCTCCACTGGTTTTGTTCGTAGTGATGCTTCCTAAGGCCCACTTGACTTTGCATATAAGAAGGACATTATATAATGGTAAAAAGGGTCCATCCACAAGGAAGATATGACAGTCACAAATATGCACCTAATTTCACAGCTCCCAAATATAGAAGCAAACATTAATAGAATTGAAGGGAGAAACTGAAACACTGTAACAGAAGATTTCAATTTCCATTTTCAATAATGGATACAACCACCAAACAGAAGACCAACAAAGAAACAGAGGACTTGAAAAACATGATAGATTAATTAGACCAAACAGACATACATAGAACACACTACCAACCAATAGCAGAATATGTATTCTTCCTAAGTGCACATGGAACATTCTCTTCAGGATAAACCACATGTAAAAGCACAAGTCCTAAAAGTTTTAAGATTAAATCATATAAAATATATTCTCCAATCACAGTGTAATAAAACTAGAAATCAAATATGTGGAAATTAAATAATACGCTCTTAAACAGCCAATGGGCCAAAGAAGAAATCATAAGGGAGACTGTAAACTATCTTGAGATATTTTAAAATAAGAATGAAGTGAAGTGAGGTGGTCACTCAGTCACGTCCGACTCTTTGTGACCCCATGGACTGTTGGCCTATCAGGCTCCTCCGTCCGTGGGATTTTCCAGGCAAGAGTGCTGGAGTGGATATGCCTTTTCCTTCTCCAGGGGATCTTCCCAATCCAGGGATTGAACCCAGGTCTCCTGCATTGCAGGCAGACACTTTACCGTCTGAGCCACCAGGGAAGCCCATAAAATAAGAATACAACATATTAAAATGTCTAAGATATAGCAAAAGCAGTCCTAAGAGGGAAATCTATATTGCTAAATACTTACATTAAAAAAGAGAAAATATCTCAAATCAACAACTTAACTTTACACTTCAAGGAACTGGGAAAATGAAGAATAAACTCAAAGTTAGCAGAAGGAAAGAAATAATAAAGATGAGAGCAGAAATAAGTGAAATAGAACAGTAGGAAAAAAATCTATGAAACTAAGAGTTAGTTTCTGGAAAGAGCAGCAAAACTGACAAATACTTATTAGCTAGATGAAGAAGAAAAAGGAGAAAACTCAAATAACTGGAATCAGAAAGGAAAGAGGGAACATTACAACTGTTATCAGAGAAATAAGAAAGATATTTTATAAAAGACTACCATGATCTATTATACACCAACAAAGTGGATAACCTAGAAGAAATGGACAAATTTCTATAAAAATATAACCAACTAAGACTGAATCAGAAAGAAATAAAAAATCTGAACAGATTTGTAACTCGTAAGGAGATTGAATCAGCAAACAATTTCCAACAAATATGAGCTCAGTACTATATGGCTACCATGGAGAAAACTACCAAACATTTAAAGAAGAATTAACACCAATCCTCCTCAAATAATTTCAAATATTGAAGAGGAGGGAACATGTTGAAACTCATTCTATGATGCCAGCATCACCCTGATACCAAAGCCAGACAAAGATACTACAAGATGAGAAAACTACAGCCCAATATTGCTTTTGAACATTGATTCAATACTAGCAAACAGAATTCAACAACACATTAAAAAATAAGACTTATTTCTAGAATGCAATATGTAAAAATCAATCAATATAATAAATCACAGTAACAGAATGAAGGAAAAAAATGACTTGATCATCTCAATGGATACAGCAAAATTATGATGAATTCAACACTCTTTCATGATTAAAAATGAAAACACTCAATAAACTAGGATTAGGAGGAAACTACCTCAATACAGGACTTCCCCAGTGGCTCAGAGGTAAATCATCTGCCTGCAATGCAGGAGACACAGGTTCAGTCCCTGAGTTGGGAAGACCCCTTGGAGAAGGGCACGGCAACCCACTCCAGTATTCTTGCCAGGAAAATCCTGTGGACAGAGGAGCCTAGCAGGCTAAGGTCCATGGGATTTCAAAGAGTTGGACATGACTGGAGAACTGAGCAGAAGCACAAGCACTGTAACATAGTAAAGGTGTCATAACTTACTCAACATCATGCTTTAGATGACGTCATGAAAGACAGTGGAGTGGAAAAATCAAGGAACGGGTCTTTTCACCAAAACAACTATTTGATAGAATTAACTATTTTGGAACTCAAGAATGTAGTTGAATACTTGCATAGCATTCAGAAGAATGCTTGATGCACAGAGAGGCTGACATGTAGGGAAATCTCTGTCAGGTCACTGACTGACCACAGGGATAACAAAACAATACTTTAGTGAACACACATGATAAAGAATACAGTCTTTGCAAAATAGCGTGGAAAGACATTGAACAGACAACTGCAGCCTTCATCAAGCAACAACAGCAATTTCTGGGGAGGGTAGAGAATCTGATTTCCTGAGTTACTGTTACAATGTCCAAAATGTTCAGTTCTCAACAAAAAATTACAAAGAATACCAAGAAACATGGATGCATACAGCCCATTCACAAGAGAAAAAAGCAACAGACACATAAAGTTCAGATACTGGATTTGGCAGACAAAGACTTAAAATAATTTTCTTAAAAGCCAATCCTCAAATTCACATTGAACTTCAAGGGGCCACAAATAACCAGAACAGTTTTGAAACAGAAGAACAAAGTTGGGAGACTTTCAAAACTCACTATAGCCTGCTAGGCTTTTCTGTCCATGGAATTCTACAGGCGGGAATCCTGCACTGGGTTGCCATTCTCCAGGGGATCTTCCCAACCCAGGGATTGAACCCAGGTCTCTTGCACTGCAGGCAGATTCTTTACCATCTGAGCCATCAGGGAAGCCCAGAAAGCAGACTGGAAGTTACTGAAGTGGGAGAGAGGAATGGGGAAGGGGTACTTAACAGGTACAAGGTATTTTCTGAGATGATAGAGAAGTTTTGAAACTAAAGGAACATGTGGCTTGCGCAACATTAAAAAAAATTTTTTTTTAATTTTACTATTACAATCTTTACAATTTTGTGAACTAACTGTGAATAACTTAAGTATTACTGAGTAGCACATTTAAAAACAGTTAAAAGAAACTGTTAACTGTAGGTTATATGAATTTCACCAAAATTAAAGAGCAATTTTAAAGATGAAAAGGAACTGGCTTACTTTTTTTTTTCCTCTGGAGATAATGCTCGCCAAACAATTTTATTCAAGCGCCTGTTTTAAAAAAATCAACAATAATTATTTAATAGCAATACTTTACTTCAGAAGAAAAGACTGACCCCAGGCAGGGAGAGCCCAAGCCACGCACCACCGTAGGACCACACCATTGCCACTTGCTCGGAGATTGGATGTGAGGGTCTCCCTCCTTCGGCATCACTGCAGAAGCTTTATGACTTTGTGGCAATCACACTAAATATGAAAGGAGGGCATAGTTCTCAGCTCCATTAGGTAAAACCCAGGCTGAGAAAAGGCAGCAAACAAACTGGTCCTCATTAACTCTGCATGAAGATATTTTTAAATATCTTATTTTCATCTTAAGGAAAAATACAAGTGTGCCCTTAGCCTGCCTTCTGAGGACATTTTTCTGTCTGGATTTGCAGAACAAAAAAGGGTTAATAGGGTCATAAATAAGAGAACTGGGATACACGTTAGAGATCAACCAGTCTGACCTCCTTATTTTCCAAATGTGGCTGCTGAGGGGGGAGAATGATGAAGCACCTTGCTCATCCAGCATGGAGAGCTGGGGCTGAGACTAAGCTCACTGAACATGTTAGAAAGATTCTGGCAATCTTTCCAGAAAGATTCTGGAAAGGAGGAAGTTGGAGCCAGTGCTTTCAATTGGGTAGTTATAGCTCCTTTTCTTGTTACTAATCAGCGGTGCTTTTTCAGAGTTTCCAGCCCTGTTTTGTTACTGCTAAATCATCACCTAAACCAGGTTTCCTGGAGCACCAGGCACAGAACACTGGCTCCATGGGTTGTGAGCTGGTGTCCCATGAAACAGAAAAGTCTCAATAAGATGGACAGGGAGAATACTGCCACTCCCCAGGAGGCACGCTTCTAATCCTTGGGCCCAGTGTCTGTGGCACAGGGCTCTGGGAGCATACTTTGGGTGGTGTTATCTTGCCCTGATCATCCATCATGAGCTTGAGGAGGTCATGGAAAGGGGGTCTAGTGTGGTGGTGAAAAGCACAGACTCTGGAGCCACTGGGCCCAAAGCTCAGTGTTCCCCTCTTATTATCCAGTAGGCTTTGGGCCAGTAGCCAACTTTTCTGTAGAATGTGGATAATAACAGTAGCTCCCTCCCAGTGCTGCAGTGCAGATTTAATAAGCAAGTGTATGCATCGTACACAGAACTGTGTCTGACACAGGTAAACGCTCTGTAAGTGACAGAAAGAGCCAGGAAGCAGGAACAAGCCAGCTCTGCTCTGCCCCGTCTCCTTGGATACTTTTGGTTCTTTGTGGCCTCTTCAGAAGGGCTTCCCTGGTGGCTCAGGCCGTAAGGAACCTGCCTGCAGGGCAGGAGGCCGGTTTTGACCCCTGGGTCAGGAAGATCCCAGTAGGGAATGGCAACCCACTTAGGGATTCTTGCCTGAAAAATGCCAAGGACAGGGGAACCTGGTGGGCTACAGTCCATAGGGTCACAAGAAATTGGCTTTCTTTAAAAAAATTTTTTTTTAATTTATTTGGCTGCCCTGGGTCTTAGTTGCGGCACGCCAGGGCTTTCCTGGTGGCTCAGATAGTAAAGAACTCTTCTGCAATGAGGGAGACCTGGGTCCAATCCCTGAGTTGGGAAGATCCTCTGGAGAAGGAAATGGCAACCCACTCCAGTCAGTATTCTTGCCTGGAGAATTCCCATGGACAGAGGAGCCTGGCAGGCTACAGTTCATGGGGTTGCAAAGAGTCGGACACAATTGAGCGACTAAGCACATAATAGGATCTTTAATCTTCATTGTGGCATGCAGGATCTTTTTTGGTTGCGGATTGTGGGATCTAGTTCCCTGAGGGATCGAACCTGGGCTGCCTGCATTGGGAGTGTGGAGTCTTAGCCACTGGACGATCAGGGAAGTCCCAATTTTCTTTAATTATGTGGTTGATTAAACAATGACGAGGGCTTCTAAAGCTTGTGTGCATTTATGGAAAATAAAAAACTATTTAAAATATTTAAAAATGTAAACCTTGAAAGTGGAGGCAATGGAAGAGAGAGGCTGGGAGTGTAGACAGGGCTTGGCAGAGACACTGGTCTGGGTTCAGATCTCAGAGGCTCTGCTTTACTGCTGTGTGATCCTATTACATAACTTAAAAAATATTCATTTATTTGGCTGTGTCAGGCTTTATTTGCAGCACTTGAACTCTCTAGTTGTGGCACGAAAGGCTCAGTAGCTGGCACTAAAGCACTCAGGCTTAGTTACTCCGTGGCATGTGGGATCTTAGTTCCCCAACCTGGGATCGAACCTGCAACCCCTGCATTGCAAGGCAGATTCATAACCACTGGACCACCAGGGAAATCCCTGTTACATAACTTTTGAAAACTGCTTTCTTACCAATAAGACAAGGATAACACCACTTACTCCTGGCATTGAGGGGATTAAATGAGCAGTATGTATAAAGTGATCAGAAATAACTAAGGCTCATTCCTTCCAGGTTCTGAAGAAGAGGGAGACTTAGAAATTCAGGAATGGTTGGTGAATGTGGGTCCAATTAGCTATGACATGTCTCTAATTTTATTTTTTAAATGAAAAAAAAAAAGCTTACCACAGTGCCTGTCATGTACTAAGTGTTCAAAGGTTAGTGTTTTTATTTATTATTATTTTGGCCATGCTGCATGCAGGTGGGATTTTAGTCCCCCACCAGGCATTGAGTCCGCAACCCCTGCATTGGAAGTGAGAAGTCCTAACCACTGGACTGCCAGGGAAGTCCCCCGTCTCTAATTTTAATTTATTTCTTCAGAAAATATTTTCCTATGAGGGTATTTTCATAACCCCTATTATTCCTCCATTTGCCATCTTCACTGAGCTATTTCAAAGCACACAGAAAAAGCAAGCAGGCATGAATTGAGGGCAGTGGAGAGTATATGAATCCTGGCTCCACTGGTGTGGAAGGCAGCCACAGGAAAGCCTTTAAAAGTGTGGGATGTGGGCCGTCCAGGATACTGGGGTTTGATAAACCACAATCTTCCTCTGTTTTTAGGAGTCAAACTTGATCTCAGGTTCACCATGAACACAGCTGCAGAAAAATCACCTGAGAATTTAGCCAGCACTGATATCCTCAGAGCTTATGTGCAGACACACAAAGTCAAAACTGCTCCTGCAATTCTTAAAATACTAAAACACAAGGACTCCTATACCTGGGAATTAGGTGTGACCAAAATAGCAAGTGTGTGTAACTACTTTGACCAAAGGACTGTGAGCTTCCAACTTACTTGGTCATCCCCAACCATACGCTTAGAGTTATATCTGGCTTACCTGTGGTGGGAAACTCCTTAGAAATGTTTCATTGGGGATGAGATGGGGATAAATAAGTTTCACTAATTACTTTTCATAGTCTGCATAGCTTTAGAAAGACGGGGCAAGATGGAAAAGGCAATTGACATTTATACCAGCAAACAAGTACTATTAAACACAAAAGATCAGAAGCTTTGTTCTATATAATATGAATGTTAATATTATTAAAAACAATATTAAATAAATAATTCATTTAAAATAAACATCAAATTAATGATACCAAATAATACACATTCAATCAATATTAATCATATTAAAGTTAATGCTAATAATATTTACTATTTTATTATTTTAATAACAATATGGTATAATATTCCTCTGAGGGTATGAAAGGCTTTTCTAGATTCATTATTGGAAGGAAGAACTGGGACAGAGCACTACTAGGTCTGTATTTTGGTTTTGCCATGAATGAAGGACTCTCTTCTGCCTGGGAATGGAGGGTCTCTGTCCTTGTGGAAATTCTCAGGAAAGGATCATCTCAGTGGAAAGAACTATTTGACTCTTCCATCCCGTGTATTTATGGTTATTTTAGTGTCAGCAGATTCAGGGAATGAAAGAGGGAAGTAATTAACATTAGTCGCTCTTTATGTATATAATTTACATAACCTTCAAACCGCCCTGTGAACCAGATCTTTGCAAATAAGGAATCTGAAGCTCACAAGTGTCACATGACCTGTCAAGCAACTGTCAGAGCCAAGAATGAAACCCCTGAGCTGTCTGACCTCAAAGCCCCAGTTTGTGGCCCTGTAGCAGGCTTTCACAGACCAGGTAGTCACAGGACTCAAATATTTGAATGAGTCAAGCAAATTAAATTACAATATAAATGATATCATTATATTTTATATAACTGAACTAGATGAATTTCAATAATTAAACCTGAATTAGATCAAATTCAAACTAAATTCCAACAGTCAAAATATATATAGTGACACCTGCTAGGAAGAGGAGATGACGGGGAAAGCCAGCAGCCTGGAGTCTGCCCTGGGGGGCTGACATCCTCGCAGGGGAGAGGCAGGCTTGTGTTGGAGCTGGGAGTACTCCCAAGCACCACAGTCAGAGAGGCCGCTGGAGAGTCGCTGGGGAAGGGCCTCTGGTAGGGGGTGGCCACTGGTGCTGAGGCAAGAAGGGACGAAAGAGGACAGCTGGGTGGGTGGGCAGGAGAGTGGCTTGGAGGCAAGGGAAGGCCTGCCTGGTGCAGAGGAAGAGGCAGAGAAGAGGACCAGACAGAGCAAAGTCTCTGGCCCAGCAGGGAGGGTGACCCTTGGGTGATTTCAGCCTGCCCTGGAGGGAAATGAAGGGCCCACAAAGACTCAGAAAAGCCCTGAGGCAACAGAAGGAGCCCATGCAACACAGCCTCAGTTCTTAGGTGAGGGTAGCAGAAGAAGGTCAAGTGTAAGCAGATTTGGAGAGGCCTGAGATGGGCCTAGTGCAGAAAGGCCAGTCTCTGGGCTGGGTTGTGCACTCCAAGTGGCAAGAAGTCAGATCTTCTATTTAGTTGGTCAAAAAAGTCTATTTGGGTATTTCTGTAACATGTAATGGAAAAATCCGAACTTTGGGACCAAACCAATACTTTTTTGAACACACACTAGACACACTAAAAAATGACAGTAGATCAGTAAGGCTGGCCTGAGCCCTGTTCACTTTTGCTTACTTTGATTTTCCTCAACCACATGGTAGTGAATGAAAACCCAATTGCACAGCTTCCAGAACCAAGAATAAGAACTTGCCTGGAGGAGCTGGGTAGCTCAAAGTTTAATTAAGAGTGTGCACAAGGAGTAATTAAATGCTACAGGGCAGGGTGGGGAGGTGATTAGAGAGCTGGGAGAGGATGAGATTCTAGCCACAGAGCCATAATCTCCACTCTGAGATGAGCTCCCAGGTCAGGTCTGAAGGAGCCAGGCCCCAGGAAGGGGCTGGGATTCAAGGACCCTGGGTTTCTTTCCCACCTGGATCTCCTCCAGCCTGGCAGTTGCCTGCCAAATCCTGGGTTATCTGCCCTTGTGAAGAGAGGCCCCCTAACTCAGCATGAACACAGTGACTATTTAAGGGTACAGTTTTCACTGTAGTCAACCTGGTCATCATCTTGCTTTTGATTTAAAAATTGTTTAAGTAAATTATATCATTATTGTGGTGTCTTATTAGTCACTTTACAGAAAGTTAAATGCTAAAATGGTCCAGTTCACTCGGCTAAAAACAAAGCTTTAAGAGTTCATGGAGGGACTTCCCTGTCAGTCCAGTGGTTAAAACTGCACCTCCCGAGGCAGGGGGCTGGGGTTCGATCCCTGATCCGGGAGCTGAGGTCCCATATCCCTTGTGGCCAAAAAGCCAAAACATAAAAAATAGAAACAGTGTTGTAACAAATTCAACAAAGACTTCAAAAAATGGTCCACACCAAAAGAAAATCTTTAAAAATCTGTAAAAAAAAGAAAAAAGAGTTTATGGAAACCCGAGATGTCTACAGAGTTTGGAAAGGGAAGACGGTTTCTTGAAAAGCCTGTTGGGCACATTCAGGTAATGCACTTAATGCAGTGCAGGCATAGAGGAAGCCCATCTGTTAGCTGAGGCTGCTGTTAATATTTCTCATGGACTATTGTTAAATGGGATTCCCTGGTAGCTCAGAGGTTTAAAGCATCTGCCTGCAATGCAGGAGACCTGGGTTCGATCCCTGAGTCAGGAAGATCCCCTGGAGAAGGAAATGGCAACCCACTCCAGTATTCTTGCCTGGATAATCCCATGGAGGGAGAAGTCTGGAAGGCTACAGTCCATGGGGTCGCAAAGAGTCGGACACGACTGAGCAACTTCACTATTGTTAAATAGCTGCCCTAGATGAAAAATTTAAGCTAAAACAAGAGAAAAGCAAAAACAAATTCCACATTCATTAAAGAGTAGCCAGGGGTAATACTCACTTTTCATAGGACTTAATTGCCTGTTCCACTTTTTGCTTGTAGATATTGAGCTTCACTCCTTGGGGGTTAATTAAAGTCATCTTATTTGTGTCATTGCACACATGTGCCAGAGGGAACACCTATACGCCAATGTCAAAGAAAAGTGTCACTTAACATGTACCTTCAAAACTTAATCTAATGGTTGTACAATATGTTTCTCTGGCTAGAAAATCAATACTTTAGAGAAATTAGAAAATGAAATCAAAAATTAAGAAATAAAAATCAGAGATATCATTGCTAACCTTTTCCTTCTAATTTTTAAAACTACATATTTAAAAAATAACCATCACCTCAAAAAACTATTTCAGGAAACCCTAATCAGAGTCAACTATTCTCTTCATAAGACTCTGTCAAATTGATAGGCATGAGCAATAAGAAATAGAATCTCATTGCTGCTATTTTGTGAATGACTAGTTAGGTTCCTCCCTGATGGCTTAGATGGTGAAGAATCCACCTGCAATGCAGGAGACATGGGTTCAATTCCTAGGTCGGGAAGATCCCTTGGAGAAGGGAATGGCATCCCACTCCAGTATTCTTGCCCGGAGAATTCCATGGACAGTGGGGTGTGGCGGGCTGGAGACCATGGGGTCTCAAAAGTCTCAAACACGACTGAGTGACTAACACTTTCACTTTTCAGTTGGATTCAACATCTTTTTCACATACTTATTTTAAATTTTATTTTCTCTTGAGAATATATGATTAGGTAATATCTTTGGGCCATCTTCCTTATCAATTTGTAAGGGATTCTTATACATGTAAAGACGGCTTAGTGATCACTGAAACCATGCTCTCTAAGAACAGTAGCGTGCCAGAATGAGAGGGCATTGTTCTGAATTCTGTCTGCATCTGACACTTGCTTCTTTCTGGGTTTGGGGATGTCTCTGACTCCATGCTATGTTAACAGGACCTGTAATAGTTTACTTTTAGTTGCTGCTTGGTTGCTAAGTTGTGTCCAGCTCCTTTGTGACCCCGTGGAGTGTAGCCCACCAGGCTCCTCTGACCATGGGATTTCCCAGGCAAGAATACTGGAGTAGCTGTCATTTCCTTCTCCAGGGCATCTTCCCGACCCAGGGAGCGAACCTGGGTCTCCTGCATTGGCAGGCAGTTTCTTTGCCACTGAGCCACCTGGGAAGCCCAATATTTCACTTTTACCTATTTGCATACTACTTACCCCTCTCCTTGAGCTTCCTTGTGGCTCAGCTGGTAAAGAATTAGCCTGCAATGTGGGAGAGCAGGGTTCAATCCCTGGGTTGGGAAGATCCCCTGGAGAAGGGAAAGGCTACCCACTCCAGTATTCTGGCCTGGAGAATCCCATGGACTATACAATGCATCCATGGGGTCGACACCACGTGACCCCATGCGTCCATGGGGTCGCAAAGAGTTGGATACAACTGAGTGACTTTCACTTATCCCTCTTTAGGAATGTAAGCTCCCTAAGAGCAGGAACTTTGTTTCATTCACCACTTTATTTCTGTCACCTGAACAGGGCCTGGCACTGTACAAATATCTGTTGATAAAGGAATAAATGTATGTTCCTCAAAAGGTATATTCCATATCTTAATATTTACATGCAAAAGAAAGTCTAACAGGAGAAATACTGAGATACAGTGGTGCTTCAATACTGCATGTGATTCCAACCACAAGGAGCATGTAGGCATTTTAGAAATATGGGCAATCACTTTTAAGAAGTAAATTTTTACTTTCATTCCAGATGATACAGAGTTCATATTTCCCTTTGCCTCCAAATCATACAAAAATTATATTGTTATTATTTAAGAAAAATGCATAGAAAGAAAAGAAGGAAAAGAAGAAGGAAAGAAAGTAAAAGAAAGATGCATCAATATATTTCTATAGAGAAAAAGTTGAACACATCAGCAGGACTGAAGTTGCAGGTTTGTTGACTCTTGTGTCCAAAGATGGCAGGGGTAGAGAAAGCTCAACTCCCAGGAAGCAAGTGGGACTCTGCGTCAGGCTTAGTGCCTGAAGCTGGCATTAGCATGAGGTTCTCTCACCCCTGCAAGAAGGCCCTGCCTGATGAGAGAGAACGCTCGTGTAGCTTCACAACCAAGAACTAAACCAAGCCACCCTCAATCTGCACTAGCCCAGTATCATCATGTAATAAGAGCTCTAAATGCCAATGACCAGGGAGTAAGGGGATGCATTTAGGTAACTGCAAAAAAAGAAGGCAGAGGAAAAAACAGATTTTTTAAAAGTCTTATTAAAAATGAGAAAACAAACTAAAATTCCTAAACACACACTAATGCCCCAAATGGTAGCTGAGCAAATCAACAATCTGAATATCAATTCACTTGAGTAGAAATTAATTTTATGACCACCTAACAATAGTTTCATATTAATTATGATTAAAATTAGTGATTAAGTTGCTCAAAGATAGAACAGTCATAAGAAGGTGTAAGAACAAACAGATGTGCCATGAAAACAAATGGATGAGAAAAAGAACAATATTTTGAATAATAAAATAACATCATGAAAAAAAAAGACACTGAAATTGAAAACTATGTATGTTGATTTTGCAATTAAAACCTCAAGACCAAGACAAACAAAACAGCCAAAGATTTAGGAAACTGAGAAGGAAGCAATAAGTTAGGCTGAATAGTCAATCCTTGCTACTTGTCAGACAAAAGAATCCATCACGTGACCTCTAAGCAAGCTTTGTCCAAGAGGAGCCAGAACAGTGGGTTAAAAGGTGAGTCGAGGTGGTCGAGCAGTTAAGAATCCGCCTGTTAATTTTGGGGACATGGATTTGATCCCTGGTCAGGGAAGGGTCCACATGCTACAGACCAACTAAGTGCACGCGCCCTAGATCCCATGCTCTGAAACAACAGAAGCCCACGCGACGCAACTAGAGAAGGCCTGTGCAAAGCAATGACGACCCAGTGCAGCCAAAAGTCAATCAGTCAATCAAATCAAATAAAAAATAAAGGTGAGTAGACTGCACTTTGAAAATTGAAAGAAATTTACAAAAGTGAAAAAAAAAAACACAAACAAAACTCACCATCTTTTAAAATACCACATAAACTTTTAGAGGAAAGAAACAGCCTCAAAAAAGTGAAAGATCCTACACTCTTATCCCTGCTGGGGAAAAGTTCCCTCTAGACGTCTATAAATAGCTCTTCAAATTGCCAACTTATGGCTCAACTGCAAATCAATACCACAAAATATTTAGCAACATTATACTACTTCATCAGGATCTGCTGGACCCCTGCCAGAAGGTGTGTAAAGAAAACCCTTTGTTTAACATTCTACCTCCCTCTTTCGTGGGTTTGGATCTCATGCCTTGCATGGCCATCTTGGACTTCAGGGTGGTAGCAGTTCAAATTTGGCTCATGTGCACCCACTCTCATTCCTTTCTGCGTGCAGATTGAGGGAAAGACAAAGTCATACTCCACACCGTCAGTCTGTGGTCTTAGTTTTTACAACATGGTGATCAGCTGAAGGTCCCATGGGACATTCTCTTTATGATGCCAAGTTTGGTGTGACTATGAGGTCATAAAGGGTATTCTTACAGGGACTTGGATGATCAGAATCTTGGCTGCTCAGCTTCTGTAGGGAGGCAGGTGGGGAGGGGAGTGTAGTTAATGAGGAAACTGACATTGCTTGAAAGGGAATGAAACCACTTGGTAACATGTCCTTTGAACATGTTTTACTTTTTACCTCTTATAATGGAAATCAAGCATTACTAACTTATGGCAGGGCCCTTCTGAACAGTATTTGATAATAAAAGGGAGCCTCAAGGTATTGCCTATTTTAATCCTCTTGAGATCAACCTAGAAGCCTTACCAAATTAATGATAATCACAGTCTGTGTGAGATTGTAACTACAAGGGAGGAAGAGCAGAGGGAGAAAGGAGGAGGTAAGACGTCAGGGAAGGAGAAGGGGCAGAGAGAGAGTGTCACTGACTATAATTGCTGAATCCTTGGATAGCCTCAATTTGGGCTGATTCTGCTAGAATTTTTCCCACTGTTAGACCAGAGACACACCTTAACCAATAATTTTATCAATAGTTGAGAATAGTTTTATCAAGTCTATTAAAAATAGTTTTATCAATAATGATAATAGTGTTTATCTTTTGCTGTCTGCCAGGTCCTAAGCCCTCTATATATTTTCTCATTCAATCCTTCCATAGATACAGACAGTGAAATGCAGTTTTGTTACTTGGCTTTCCTCTCCACTGAACTCTGTAGTTTTTTACTCTATTAAAAAATACTAGTTTCTAAAACACAATGCATGTGCAAAGTAACCATTTTCTGAATATGTAAAAGATTAAAATTATATAAATTCAAGTAATGGCTAAAGCTCCAACATTTTTAGAAGTTTATCTATATTGTAAAATACTGTGTCTTAAAGTCCACCAGATTTGAGTTCTTGGTGATTGAGGCATGAAATGAGCATAACTTTGCTATTTTAAAAGACGTGTTTGCCAAGAATGTGAATGATGTAAGCAAAATTTTAAGAGATATATTTAGATTACATAAAAAACTATTCTCAAACAATAAAAGAAAAAAAGTTAAATTTGGAGTACCATTTCCCGTTAGCAGCAGGCAGGGTTTTTTGTTTGTTTTTAATGCTACTGCTCTAAGTGACAGCTAAGATTAGGAAAACAGGCACTCTCAAAATTCCAAGTAAACTGTCCAATAATGCAGGGAATAGCTAAAGTAATTCATGTTACTGAACATTAGTACAACTATTAAAATTCATCCCCAAACAGTCATTACAAGGAAATATGTGCAGAAGATATGCTAAATGAAGAAAGTGGGGCACAGAACTGTCAGTCAGTCAGTTCAGTCGCTCAGTCATGTCCGACTCTTTGGGACCCCATGGACTGCAGCACACCAGGCTTTCCTGTCCATAACCAACTCCCAGAGCTTGCTCAAACTCATGTTCATCGAGCTGGTGATGCCATTCAGCCATCTCATCCTCTGTCTTCCCCTTCTGCTCCTGCCTTCCATCTTTCCCAGCAACAGGGTCTTTTCCAATGAGTTAGTTCTTTACATCAGGGGGCCAAAGTACTGGAGCTTCGGCTTCAACATAAGTCCTTCCAGTGAATATTCAGGATTGATTTCCTTTAGGATTGACTGGTTTGATCACCTTGCTGTCCAAGGGACTCTCAAGAGTCTTCCCCAACATCACAGTTCAAAAGCATCAATTCTTCAGTGTTCAGCTTTCTTTATAGTGCAACTCTCACATCCATACATGACTATTGGAAAAACCACCTTTTCTTCCAAGGAGCAAACATCTTTTAATTTCATGGCTGCAGTCACCATCTACTGTGATTTTGGAGCCCAAGAAAATAAAGTCAGTCACTGTTTCCATTGTTTCCTCACCTATTTGCCATGAAAGGATGGGACTGGATCTTAGTTTTTTGAATGCTGAGTTTTAAGCCAGCTTTTTCACTCTCCTCTTTCACTTTCAAGAGGCTCTCTTTGCTTTCTGCCATAAGGGTGCTGTTATCAGCATATCTGAGGTTACTGATATTTCTCCCAGCAATCTTGATTCCAACTTGTGCTTCATCCAGTCTGGCATTTCTCATGATGTACTGTGCATATAAGTTAAATAAGCAAGGTGACAATATACAGCCTTGACGTACTCCTTTCCCAATTTGGAACCAGTTCGTTGTTTCACGTCCAGTTTTACCTGTTGCTTCTTGACCTGCATACAAGTTTCTCAGGAGGCAGGTAAGGCGGTCTGGTATTCCTAGATTCCCATTCCTATCTCCTTAAGAATTTTCCACAGTTTGTTATGATCCACACAGTCAAAGGCTTTAGGGTAGTCAATGAAGCAGAAGTAGATGTTTTTCTGGGATTCCCTTGCTTTTTCTATGATCCAATGGCTGTTGGCTATTTGACCTCCTCTGCCTTTTCTAAATCCAGCTTGAAGGTCTAGAAGTCCTCGGTTCACGTACTGTTGAAGCCTAGCTTGGAGAATTTTGAGCATTACTTTGCTAGCATGTGAGGTGAGTTCTCAGATTCTTTGGCATTGCCTTTCTGAACTGTAGGCACTGTTATTAGTTGTTAGAGTAGTCCAGGAAGAATTCGACCAGACCACATTCTGGCTGTGTTTATAAGCAATCATTTTGAAAATGAGAAAATGGTGCAAACTGGTGTTTATATATTTATCATTCGACACTGACTGAATTCAACAACTTCACTGTTTTTCAACTAAATCATTTGTTCCTATACATATCCCAGAGCTTGCTGCCAGATTGGGCAAGAAGAGGTCTGACTGGATGTGAGTAATGAAAATGCAAAGGCTGGACACATCTGCATGGCTGACTCTGAACACAGGTGCAGTGGCTTCGTAGTTGTACAAATTTCTGAGTGCTAAAGCTTAAACCTCTGCTTGTATTTATTTATTTAAACAAGTTGTGTTTATTTACTTTTGGGCCACACTCCATGGCATGTGGGATCTTAGTACCCTGACCAGGGATCAAACCGGAACCCCCTGAATCAGAAGGGAGAGTCTTTAGCCACTGCATCACTGGGTAAGTCCCAAACCGCTGCTTTTTAAATAGAAACATCTCCAGGTTTCCATAGAGCAAACTGAAGGCAGGGCCACAAAATTAACTGGCAAAGAGGTGTGCCAATAAGATCATTTATAAACCCACAAAAATACATTACTTACAACAGGGTAGGTTACATCTCACAAACTTCAATCTAAACTTAAAATAAAAAGATCATTTTTTAATGTAAATTTTATAAATGAAATTTGAATTTGTAAATTTTATGAATGAAATTTTCTGGTATGGAATGATGTTCAAAATAGATTGTTGAGTAAAAATCAAGGCACAGAGTATCTTCAGTTCAACTTCATTTTGTAAAACAAAACAGAGAACAAAAGACAATGTATATAATGAAAAAGCTTTGATCAGACAGTCATCAAATACTTCATCTGTGAGAAATTATATTCTAATGTTTCTTTCTTTTCTACTTACCTGTATTTTCCAAATTTTCTACACAATGAATACATACAGTTTTTGTATTAACTGTCCTTTTAAATCTTTAATTAATTTTTCTATCAACACAGTTTTCAATGCTATTATATTTGAAAGCAGCAAAATGTTATGCCCTTAGCAGCATCCCTAACATTCCTCATCAGCTAAATGATAAGATAAATAGTCACCTCACTAGATTGCTGTAAGTTTTAGATCAGACACTTTGATGAGATAAAATGCTTCTCTCAGAACCTAGTATGAGGGACTTTCCTGAGGTCCAGTGGCTAAGACTCCACGCTCCCAACACATGGAGCCTGGGCTTGCCAATCGTTGGTCAGGTAACTAGATCCCACATGCCTCAACTTAAGATCCCATGTGACACAACTGACCCGGTGCAGCCAAATAAATTAATAAAAAATAAATATTTAAAAAAAGAACCTAGCAAGAGGGCTCCTCACAAACCTGATTAAAGACCTTGCCATGGCCTGTCAGGAGTAAGGGACAGAGATGGGGTGCCAGCCCAGGCTACCTGATCACAAAGCTATGTGCTGGACCCAGATTAGAGCAAAGCAGGAAGCTTTGATGAGATGCTGTTAAAGACAGGATGATGTGTGATGTTGGAGTGGCTTTTCCAATGATGCAAAAACAACTGTTCCCACATTCTTTTTTTCCCAAAGCAATTGGCAATAAAGAGCTTTAAATTCCAGATTTATCAAGTAGTTAAAGCAGTTTTACTCTGTATATGACTTGATGATGAATTAATTTTTTTGAAAGAGCTAAGGTTAAAGTTATCTGGTCCACTGAAAACTGAACGTGCCAGTTAGCATCTTGTAATGAAGGGTTGCCAGGGCAACCTCTCTGCTCAACACTTCATTTCCAAGGTGATGGATTTGATGTGGGTCCAGGAAACATGAAAACCAAAACAGCATTGTGTTCCAGAAGAAGAAACAGCCCATATATAAGTCATGAATGAAACAAATGGCTGGGGACAAAAGCAAACGATGCTTTACAATTCTACCCAGACAGATGTGGCTGCACACAGGACACTGGAGTGAAAGCAAATTAAAATTATCAGTGAAGTAGGTGAAGATTCAAGTTTTCTTTTCAGCTCCGTTCTACTTTTTGTCTACTTTTCCGAAAAACTGTTAGGTCCAAATATAAAAGCTATATATCTCACCCAGAGGGTTTATATTTTTCAGTCATTGTTTTCCCATTCTTTTCTTTAGTTGAGGGTCTCTTCCAGTTAGAGAAAATAATAAACAAAAGATGTAAGTGTGCTCTGAGGGTGAAATTGGAATTTACTGCAGGATCATTTCCTTCATTGCCATGACTCTTGCTCTTACCGATAATGGAATGAGGACAGCATGTGTGCACTATGTGCCCACAGGCTTGTGGTGAGAATTTACAATGCCACAGAAGGCCCTGAGCATAAGTGCCCATGGTGGAATGCACAGGAAAAAATGTATATCCTGTTCCCTTGGCTCTGCTTTCTAAACAGAACCCTTGATACGCTTCCAGTTTTTTTCCTTCTCGAAAATCACTCAACATGTTTCTCTCTCTCAGCCCCAGGTGGTTCTCTCTCCCTCCCTCCTTTTGACTTTTTCCTTTGGAGACTTTTATGAAGGAGAAGATGCCACTGTACTTAGGAAGAGAAGGTAAGCAAAGGAGGATCATAATTTCCCACAAGTTCTCCCTGACCTTTGATATTGAATGATATTCTCTCATGACTTGTGACTCTGACCTAGGGGCTTTTCAGACATTTCTGCAGCTCCACACTGCCATTAGCAAGGAGCCGTGAACTGCCAACCCAACAAAGGCCAATTTCTTCTCAGCTTAGAAGCAAAAATGCTTAAGAGCTTCTCCCTCTACTTTTCACTGTCTTTACAAATAATTTTTTCCCAATGGCTGAAATACATTTCTATTACAACTGTACAAGACATTAAGTGAACTACTTTCTATGTAAGCAAGAAACGAAAAGTACATCAAGCAGGGACATATAGGAAATCAGTTTTACCTCATCAAAGACTTTGGAAACAACGTGCTTGTCCAGAACAGGGACGTAGGTGGAGCTGTGGGGAATGGCAGCCATGGACAAAGCATCCATGATGGTGAGCTTCTTGGCCGCCAAGCCATGGATCTTGAGCCAGGATGCTGAAGACATTCCTGCAGAACTAAGAACATGAGACCATGATGTTTTAAGACACATCAAACAAAAACATAACAAGCCTGTCCTAGTAAAATTGAAGTACTCACTCTTGGTCATAAACTTGGCTTCCTTCTCGAGTCAATCTTTCTAATGACTTGTCATCTGGAAACTCATTTGTCAGCAGGATGCCCATTTCTGTAGAAAAGAAAATGGAAGCTGTATAATTTCCTCACATGTGGGGTTCATATCAAAGTGCAAAAGGATCGCACTCATCTCTGGGTTCAGTTGTGTCTGAGGACTAATAAATGGACTACATTTCCGACAGCTAATCTCTCAGAGTGGATTCTAGGCAAGATGAATTTGCAATGGACACTAAAGGCTGATACATGGGTAATAGGGTGGGTACCCCATACCCACTGAGATCTCTCTCTATGGAAGGATGAGATGGCCTCATTCTTCACACTCCAGAAAATGTATCTTCTAAATGTCAAATAAGAATGCCATGAGCCAAAAATTGTTCAGTGTTGCCCTCGTTAGACTCCCCCCAGACTACATAGGACAGCCTCGTTCAACATTTCAGTTTTTGACAGTTTGGTCCCTGATTCCTCAGCTCTATGTGGAAAACCAAAATCCCTACTAAGTTCTGTTTAGCTGTAAGTTCAAATTTTCAAACTATTATTTGGAATTTTTAATGTCTATTTTTATATAAGCTTGGATTTACAAATGAAAAGCAATATTAGCTAATTGAATTAGTAGAAGAAGGGGTGTTTAGGAGTGAGCTAGTTAAATGCCTAAGAAATCACATCCAAGTCATCATACGATAATCCTTTTAAAGGACTGTGCACATAGCAGATTTAGGAAATATGGAAGGTTAATTAAAATTGAGGAAAAGGCACCCCACAGATCAGCACTGAAGAACACAGGGTTTGATTAAGCTATGACTCAGTAAGAGCGGGTATAAATTTGTCCCTCGTGCGCTTCCTCCTATTTAAGGGGTTGTGTGGATGTGTGTGCTTAGCCGGGGGCTTATTATTTATGAACTCTATGAAACACGGGGAAAAGTGCTACAGGAATTAAAATTTTAGGAAATCAAGTCTTTAAATTTACTATTTTAAAAATAATGATATTATCAATAAAAACTGAGTGGAAAAGTTGAATTTTCCTCCTATTTAGCCCCCAACAGGCTGACAACATGGATCGGAGAGGGGCTCGTTGGATGGTGCCACCTGTGAATGAATGGAAGAAAATAAACCGACTGTGAGGTATTAGGTTTTCAAATTCAAAACACGGAGTGGCAGCCAGCACCACCACTAGTGTCAGTGGTTATATGAGCCAAAGGTGTATTAAATAACCAGGGAATGATAAATGCAAGTCTGGCCCTAAGGAAGTCCAGTTCACTAAAGCAAGACAACCTGATTTACAAGGGAGTCCTTTGAAGAGGTAGAAATCTAGACTCACTTAAAAATGATTTGTTTCCCCTCAAAATCTCTCTCCTCAGCTCTTTCAGGAGAAGACACACTGGGGAGGGGTGACCAGCTTGGGCTTCCTGATGTATAGACCCTCAGTAGCTCACCCCTGTCACCTGGCATGTTCCAGCTGCTAGAATTGGAAATCCTGTCCTTCCTCTCACTGCAGGCTGAGCTCTTGACGGTGGACAGCTGGCTTCTGAGCAGGCTGGTTTTGGTTGGTTCTGTGGGTGTCACAGGGAGAAGGGTTAAAGGAATTTGGGATGGAAGGAGGTGCTTCAGGAGATGCAGCTATGTCCTTGGAGCCTTTAAAAAGAAAGCAGGTTTAGTCTCCCAACCGTCAGGGGGACAGTGCTGCCACCAAGTAGATGCTGTGTAATGTCAGATTCTACTGATTTGAGTTCAAGCTCTGCCCCTCCTGGATAGAGATCTGCTTCTGAGTTCCTTCAGCTTGCTGGCAGAAAGTATTTCCCTGTGGTTGGAGGACTTAGGTCCCACTTCCTTGCTGGCTCTTATGCAGGGGTCTCTCTCAGCTTCTTAATCACCCCCATTCCTATTCATGGACCCCTCCATCTTGAAGCCAGCACACTGATTCCCCTCTTGCCCAAAATCTCTCTGACTTCCTCTTATGCCACCAGCTGGAAAAAGCTCCCGCATTCAGGGGCTCATGTGAGTACACGGGGCTTTCCTAGAAACCCTGGCTGAGGGTCACATAACATAATCAGGGGAGTGATGCCCATTACCTTCACAGAGTGCGGGGTTTAGAGCGGGACCTCTTTGTAGGTCATTTTAGAAGCTCTGCCCACCACACCTGCTGTCTACACTTTTATTTGTATTCTTTTCTACCCTCTGTTGTGTCCTTTCAACTAGCAAGTACACACTTAGTAAATAATGACACTGAATCTGTGTGCTTTAGAGGAGGGTTCCCCAATCTTTGGGATCTGATGCATAACGATCTGAGATGGAGCTGATGTAATAGTAATAGAAATAAAGTGCACAAGAAATGAAATGCATTTGAATCATCCCAAAACAATCCCCGCTCCCCCAACCCCAATCCATGGAAAAATGGGTTTCCATGAAACCCGTCTCTGGTGCCAAAAAGGTTGGGGATTACTGCTTCAGAGGATAATGCATTTGCACCAAGACATTTGATTACTTTCCCCATGGGATCACAGAAACCACACTAATTGTAATTGTTGTCTGTACTTTGTGATCTGGAGGCCTTTATGTAGTACCAAAGCTTTATGTAGTATTTGTAAACGAAATGTATCCTGTTTTCAACAAGAAGGGACTTATCCTTTCCTACAAGAAATTAGAGTGAAAATTAGCTAATAATCTGCATTGTCTCTCACACAGAAAGATACCTCCAGTAGTTTCCATGTATGGAGTCAGGAGTGTGCTATGTGATAGTCACTGTTTTTCTAGGCAACAAATAGGGTGTTTTCTGTCTCCACTGCCTCTGTAACAAGGAATTTGGAAGGATAAATTTTCTCAGGAGCTGTGTCTGTGAGCAAAAGAGACAAATAATCCACATAGGAGAGGTGGACTTCTGTTCTTCACTATACCAGCAGACCATCTTGATCACAACTGCCGGGTAGAAACAACAGATGTGTCCAAATGAAAATGAAATTTAGCTCCCAAAGTTCCCAGACATGAAAACTGTACTATTCCCAAACTGCAAGTAACGAGCGAAGACATATTTATCTGGCAGTGGATTCACGCATTTAACTACTCCCGCAGCTCTGTATGGTCTAACACCACATTTCATCATTCTTCTAAATTAGAAAGTGAATCAGAATAAAAATTTGGCACAGGGCTGCCTAACAATAGCAACAATTCCAAATCTAAATGAAATGGTGCAAGTGACAAAAGGCCATTAAAACACTTAGGATGAGTAGCAAGTAGCATTTCTAGCAAAGTCAGGTTCACTGGAATAACCAGGCAGGAATGGCAAAAGGGATGTTGCCACACAAGTGGCCAGAATGGGAATCCTCTTTGTCCCCGTGGGCTTAAGACAGAGACACTAGGGCAAATGGACAGATCATGAAAGAGGGACCAAGCTACAATACTTCTTTGGTCTCTAGGGGTTTAAGGCTCTCCCCCTCTGCCCAGAGACATGGGGAGACAAAAGAGACAGTGTGTGTATGGCAGAGGAAGCCATCACGACCTTCCTCACTGAGAGACATACAGCATCCTGGGGAAACTCCTCTGGTCCCTCAGGAAGCACCATAAAGGGATCAGTGGGAGCCACAATAACACCAGGGAAACAAGCACCAAAGTGATACCACAAAGGCTGTGAAAATGAAATCACCATTAGAACCCACAAGTGCAGGCCAAAGTGAGACTTATGTGTCAACTTTAAACAGGACAACTGCTATCTAAAATAAAAGATATAAATAGCAGCCAGGGTCCCTAACAGAACATTCAGGAAACTATTAAAAAAATAATCTATCATATCAGAAATCAAGAAAATCACACTTTGATGGAGAAAAAACAATCAAAGGATGTTAATGCCATGATGAATCAGAAGCTGGAATTCTCTGACAAGGCTCTCAAAGAAGCTGTCAGAAAAAAGGTTCAGCCATTAATTATAAAATTCTCTTGAAACAAATAGAAAAATCTCAGCAAAGAAATAGAAGTTATAAAAATTTCCAAGTGGAAATTGTAGAACTGAAAAATAACAAATAAAAAACATTTTGGGTGAACTCAATAACGTAGTAAAAATAGCAGAGGGTAGTATCAGAAAACTTTGGAAACAGAACAATGGAATTCAGCCAATTTTAACAATAGAGAGAAAATGCAATAAGAAAAGATAAACAGAGCCTCAGGGGTCTGTAGGATAATAGCAAAATATCCAACATTCATATCATTAGAGTCCCAAGACAGAGAGGAAACAGTGAGGCTGAGAGACTATTGGAAGAAGTAATAGATGAAAGTGCCCCCAATTTGGTGAAAGATACAACATACAAATCAAGAAGCTGTGCAACCCCAAACAGAATAAACCCAAGGAAATCCATGCCAAGATGCATTATAGTCAAACATTTGAAAATTAGAGACAAAGAAAAAATTTAAAAAGCATGCCAGAGAGAAAGGAACCAGCACCTAGAGGGAAGCAGCAGTTTGAACCAGTTTGAGCTAATTTCAGACTTTTTTTTTTCCCACATTTAAAGTGTACGCGGCCTGAGGAAGAGGCACTATGTTTTCAACTACAGACAGGAAAGAACAATCAGCTGCAAATTCTGAACAAGGCAAAAATGTCCTTCAGGAATGAGGAGAAAGTAAAAACATTCCTAGACAAAGAAGAAAATTATTGTGTCCAGCAGACTTGCCCTTGAAGACTGAACACAGGAAGTTCTTCAAACAGAAAGTAAATGAGAAAAGAAGAAATTTTGGAGAATCACAAAGGAAGAAAGAACAAAAGAGAAAAAATATGGTAAATACAATAGATTATCTGTTCTTCATGAGACTTATATTTGGTGATTTAAATAAAAATTACAGCATCATCTGATACTCAAGCCAATGACATTCAAAACTAGGGACAGCAAAGAAACCTAATTGAAGTAAGATCTCCACACTCACAAAAAAAGTGGTAAAATGTTGATACCAGAAGAGTGTTTTAAGTCACATTTATAGGCTGTTATACTCAGAGAAACCATTACAAAAACCATGCAGAGTTACACTTAAAAGCACTGGAAATAAACACTGAGGCCAAGTTGGAGATGCTCTAAACATATGAGGCTGCTTAAACATTTGAAAGCAATTAATGTAATCCACCAAATCAACAGAATAAAGAAGAAAAATCATATGATACATGATCTCTCATTTGAGAGATCAAATGGCTTAGCTGGTAAGGAATCCTCCTGCAATGTGGGAGAGCCGGTTCAATTCCTGGGTTGGGGAGATGCCCTGGAGAAGAGAAAGGCTACCCCCTCCAGTCTTCTGGCCTGGAGAATTCCATGGACTCCACAGTGCATGGGGTTGCAGAGCTGGACACAGCTGAGTGACTGTCACTGTTCTCTGGTGCCTCAGTGGTAAAGAACCTGCCTGCCAATGCAGGAGGTCCCTGGGTGGGGAAGATGCCCTGGAGAAGGAAACGGCAATCCACTCCAGTATTCTTGCCGCAGAAGTCCCATGGACAGAGGAGCCTGGTGGGTCACAGTCCATAAGGTCAAAAAGAGTTGGACACAACTTAGCGACTAAGCAACAAAATATCATTTGATGTAGATATAGCATTTGACAAAATCCAGTACTAATTCATGACTGGATTAGAGAAACTCAGAAACTCAGAAAACTGGGAATGAGGGGAACTTCCTCAACTTAAGAGTATGTACAAAAAACCTACAGCTAAAGTCACATTTACTGGTGAAAAATTGAATATCTTTCCCCTTTAAGACCAAGACAAAGGCAAGGTGAGCATCATCCTTATTAAACATACTACTGGATATTCTAGCTTTTGCAACAAGGCAAGAAAAAGAGATAAAGCCAAAAAGATTGGGAAAAAAAGATAAAACTGTCCCAATCTGCAGATAACACATTGTGTATGTGAAAATGGTAAGGAATTCACACATACATCAAAATTTTTAAAAACCCACAAAACCAAAAAAACTCCTAGAACCATTAAGTGAATTCTGTAAGGTTGTCCATTATGGGATCAACGCACAAAACGAATCACATATTGATACACTAACAATAAACATGTGGCAAGCTATATTAAAAAATCAATACCATTTGTAATTGTTCCAAATACAGTTAAGTCCCCTATATATGAACAAGTTCTGTTCTGAGAGCCTAGAAGTGGAGCAGCCATTTTGAGACCATGAGAGTGAATTCTCAAAATTCACCAATAAAAAACAAACGATCCTTATAGAATACGCGCAAAGCCCATGTGTGCAGACATTTAATTGAAGAGGATATAAGGATTACAGATGAGCACGTAAAAAGATGTTCCATATTACTAGTCATTAGGGAAATGCAAGTAAAAACCACCATGAGATATTACACGCCTATCAGAACAGTTAAAAAGTGTATGTGCGTATGTGTGTGTGTGTTCAGTCGTGTTTGACTCTTTGTAACCCCATGGACTGTAGCCTGCCCGGCTTCTCTGTCCATGGAATTTTCCATACAAGAACACAGGAGTGGACTGCCATTTCCTCCTCCAGGGGATCTTCCCAACCCAAGGATTGAACCTGCATCTCCTGCATTGGCAGGCAGATTCTTTAGTGACTGAGACACTAGGGAAGCCCTTCAAAATAAAAAGTATTTATGACAATCTATACCAAGTTCTGGCAAGAATGTAGAGAAACTGAATCACTCATTGATTACTGTGATAATATGAAATGGCACAGTCACTCCAGCAAATAGTCTGGCAGCTTCTTACAAAACTAAACATTCAATACTATATGAATCAGCAATTGCATTCCTGGGCTTTATATTAAAGAAATGAAAAATTATGTTCACACAAACCAGGTACAAAAATGTTTAGAACTGCTTTATTCGTAACAGCCCCAAACTAGAAACAACTCAGATGTCCGTCAACAGATGACTGGTTAAACCAACTCTGGAGCATCCATATCACATGCTCTGTAATGAAGAGGACTGAAGTGTTGATACCTATAAAAATTTGGATGAGTCCGGGGGGAAAATATGTTGAGTGAAACAAGCCAAAACCCACAGGTTATGTGTTGTATGATTCCATTTACATAACGTTTTTGAAATGACAACATTTTAGAAATGGAGAACTTAGTAGTTCCCACTAGTTGGGGAAAGGGTGTTGGAGGGAAATGGGTGTTGTTATAAAACAGCAAGGCCAGGGATCTTTGTGGTCATGGAAATGTTCTGTGTCTTGACTGTAGGGAGGGGGGAATATGAAATCACATGTGATAAAATCAGAGAAGTACACACACACACATGAACACATGTAAAACTGGGGTAATCCGACTAAGATTGTGTATTGCATCAATGTCAATATCCTGGTTGCAAAACTGAACTTTTTTTTTTTCAACATGTGACCATTGTGGGTAGCTGGGTGAAGAGCAGGTATACAGGATCTCTCTGTATGATTTCTCACAACTGCATGGGAATATACAATTACTTTAATAATAACTTCAGTTTAACAAACACAAGTTTAGGCTTCTTTTAAAATGTTATGAGGCTTTAGTTTTATTCCTCCTTTATTCCTGTTAATACCTTCTTGTACTGAAGGAAAACCAGTCACAAGATTCAAACATTTTGTTTACAGATACCTGCGTGGAGCACTTTCTTTCCCTGAATCTTTTGACTTGATGGGTCCTCTGGTATTTTCGGCATTCGTGATGATTTGACAACAGCGTGAGGTTTTGCACATTTTTCTGGGGTTGAAACCATGGAACAAATCTCTTTTTGATGCCTGTTTTAGGTTAAAAAGTAGACAAAGATGGTGAAAGAAAAAATCTGAGGAACTTCCTGTGTTCGGTCTTTAAGGGTAAGTCTGCTAGCTACAGTTATTTTTTGTCTAGGAATGTTTTTATTTTTCTCTTTGTTCCTGAAGGGCATTTATTAAATGCTAAATTTGCTAATAGGAAGACAGTGAATTTTGATGAAGAAATTCTGACTAATACATATTTTCATCTTCTTTCCATTTTGCTATCACAAATCTGCCTGCAATGAGGGAGACCTCAGTTCGATCCCCGGGTTGGGAAGATCCCCTGGAGAAGGGAAAGGCTACCCACTCCAGTATTCTGGCCTGGAGAATTCCACGGACTGTATAGTCCATGGGGTCACAAGGAGTTGGACACGACTGACCAACTTTCACTTTAAGTTAATTATGCAGCCCTTAAAAGAGATTCTATTTTGTGGATATTCATTTAGAAAACTGGAGAAGGAAATGGCAAGCCACTCTAGTATTCTTGTCCATAGAATCCCAAGGAGTCTGGTAGGCTACAGTCCATGAGGTCACAAAGAGTCTGACACGACTGAGTAACTTTCACTTTCACTTTTTCTTTCACTTCTAAGTAAAAAGATATACTCCTGATGGGGCATTTCTTGTTTGTCATTTTTAAATTGAAGTATAGTTAATTTACAGTGTTGTGTTAGTTTCAAGTGCACAAAGTGATTCAGTTTTTTATATATATATACATATGTATATGTATATACATATATATATACACACACATTTTTATACATATATTACATATATTATGTATATATATGTTATACATACATTATGCATATACATATACACACATATATATAAACTTTTCAGATTCTTTTCCATTATTATAGGTTATTACAAAATATTGAGTGTGCTATACAGTAGGTCCTTGTTGTTTACAATAGGGAAGCCCAGAATAAAGTTATTCTGTTTTATATATAATGGTGTATATTTGTTAATTCAAAACTCCTCCCACTGTTAATCCCAAACTGCCCTCATTCTCTACTATCTTCTTTGGTAACCATAAATTTATTTTCCATTCCTGATAGGGTATTTATATGCTGTGATACATGAATGCTATGATGCCTGAATATCTGTACAATGTGAAATCATGTAAGATTTGACACACTTACTGAATGCTGGGGTGGTTTTGATTTTAGACGTATTATTAATAGCATATAGCATGGGGAAAGACCTGAAAAATCATCCATCTCAAATCCTACCCTACCACCACATCATCTTAAAGAGGAAGAAACTGAGACCCACAGCAATCAACAGGTGTGGAGAGAAGTTAGGGATTCACAAAGGCCACACAGAGTCAGGTCCAGACCTTGAGCCTCCTGCTGCTGCCCCCACTAAGATGCTTCAGTCGTGTCCGACTCTGTGCGACCCCACAGACGGCAGCCCACCAGGCTCCCCGTCCCTGGGATTCTCCAGGCAAGAACACTGCAGTGGGTTGCCAGTTCCTTCTCCAAGGTGCGCATGCATGCTAAGTGGCTCCAGCCGTGGCCCTGAGTCAAATCCTCACGGCAGTGCACCCCTACTCTGCTCGCCCCCTCCGTGGGCCGTGGTGGGGTGGGGGCCGTCCGCACTGGGTGCAGATGAGGCACCCTTAAGGAGAACATGGGCCTTGAGGACGAGTATGTGAGGCTTCCCTGGCGGTCCAGTGGTTAACACTCTGCACTTCCATGGGACAGGGTGGATCCCCAGCTGGGGAACTCAGATCCCATAGCAATGCCACTTGGTATGACCAAAACAAAATCAAAATTAAAAAAAGGATGAGTTTGTGGCTTCTGTAAGGCAATCATTAATTTGTTAGATTATAAGTCCCCTTTGCTTAAACAAAAATCCTAACATAATCATACTATGTATTTTTGAAAGAACTCTCACAAAGCACTGTAGAAAGAAGTGGTAAAGAGACCCAGCAGAGCACCCAAGAGGACCTCTGTGATGGGGAAGTGGGCGCTTTGCCATGCTCACTTGTCTCCATCCTTTTCTGCATTGTACCACCAGTCCATGACCAATGACTCTGAGTAAAGGTCTTGCACCTTCTCTAGGTCATTGCGTCCTTGCTCCATTTCCTTAATTAAAAGAGTCAGATCTTCATCCTGCCAAAATAAGTAAACACATTGCAAGATTATATGAAAGTTCAGATTCCAAACATTTCTAACAAAAAACCAACTGTATCAGGAAAAGAAGAATCTAAAGAACTTCATGTAGTTCTTATTTCTTTTTTAGACAGCCTAATCGAGGTGTGGCAGAAAATGAAGAAGAACTAAGGAGCCTTTTGATGTGAGTGAAACAGAAGAGTAAAAAAGCTGGCTTAAAACTCAACATTCAAAAAACTATCATGGCATCCACTGCCATCATTCATGGCAAACAGAAGAGGAAAAAAGTGGAAGCAGAGACAGATTTTCTTTTCTTGGGTTCCAAAATCACTGTGGACAGTGACTACAGTCATAACATTAAAAGACACTGGCTCCTTGGAAGGAAAGCTATGACCAACGTAGACAGTGTTTTAAAAAGCAGAGATATCACTTTGCCGACAAAAGTCCGTATAGTCAAAGCTATGGTTTTTTCAGTAGTCATGTACAGATAGCTGAAGAATTGATGCTTTTGAACTGTAGTGCTGGAGAAGACTCTTAGAGTCCCTTGGACTATGAGGAGATCAAACCAGTCAATCTTAAAGGAAATCAACCCTGAATATTCATTGGAAGGACTGATTACTGAAGCTGAAGCTCCAATACTTTAGCCACCTGATGAGACGAACTGACTTTTTGGAAAAGACCCTGATACTGGGAAAGACTGAAGGCAAGAGGAGAAGGGGGCAACAGAGGGTGAGATGGTTGGATGGTATCACTGACTCAGTGGACATGAGTTTGAGCAAACTCCAGGAGATAGTGAAGGATAGGGAAGTCTGGTGTGCTTCAGTCCATGCGGTTGCATGACTTAGCAACTGAACAACAAACTGAATGTATGTAAAGTGTACCATTTGAATAGTTTGACATTCACACTTGTGAAATCACCTCTGCAGTCAAGATAATAATTATATCCATTACCCTCTATAAAGTTTGTTTGTATCCCACTGTAGATCTGCCCTCCCTCTTAGCCCCTGTTCAAAAAACAAGCAGCTATTCATCTACTTTCTGTCACTATCAGTTTCAATTTTCTGGAATTTTACTTGTCTGTTTATTTTTTTCAGCAGGTCTATATGTATTTTCAGCAAAATACCCATAAAGTTTACTATTTTAACCATTTTTAAAGTGTGTTCACCTCAGTAGCATTAAGCACATTTACGATATTGTGCAACCATCACTATTATTTAGTTCAAGAACTTTTTAAATTACCCAAATGGAAACCCTTACTTATTTTAAATTAATTTTTATTAGAGTATAGTTGCTTTATGGAATTTTATTTAAATGGAATCATACATTATATCATCTTTTCATGTCCAGTTTACTTTACTTTCATAATTATTTTGAGATTCACCCATGATATAGCATGAATCAACAGTACATTCATTTTTATGGCTGAGTAGTATTCAAAATCACTGCAGATGGTGATTGCAGCCATGAAATTAAAAGATGCTTATTCCTTGGAAGGAAAGCTATGACCAACCTAGACAGCATATTAAAAAGCAGAGATATTACTTTGCCAACAAAGGTCCGTCTAGTCAAGGCTATGGTTTTTCCAGTGGTCATGTATGGATATGAGAGTTGGACTGTGAAGAAAGCTGAGTGCCGAAAAATTGATGCTTTTGATCTGTGGTGTTGGAGAAGACTCTTGAGAATCCCTTGGACTGCAAGGAGATCCAACCAGTCCATCCTAAAGGAGATCAGTCCTGGGTGTTCATTGGAAGGACTGATGCTGAAGCTGAAACTCCAGTACTTTGGCCACCTGATGGGAAGAGTTGACTCACTGGAAAAGACCCTGATGCTGGGAGGGATTGGGGGCAGGAGGAGAAGGGGACGACAGAGGATGAGATGGCTGGATGGCATCACTGACTCAATGGACGAGTTTGAGTAAACTCCAGGAGTTGGTGATGGACAAGGAAGCCTGGCATGCTGTGATTCATGGGGTCGCAAAGAGTCAAACATGACTGAGTGACTGAACTGAACTGAGTATTCAATTATATACCAAATCCAAAATTTAGTCACCTGTTGATGGACATCTGAATTTTCAGGTCTGAACTATGATAAATACTAAAGCTATGAGCATTTGTGCACAAATCTTCATATGAATATTTGCTTTCATTTCTCTTGGGTCAGTGAACAAGAGTGGAATGGCTAGATCATATGGGTGGTGATGCTGAACTTTTCAAGAAATGACCAAACTGTTTTCCAAAATGATTGCACTAGTTTACATTCCCATTAGTAATATATGAGAGTTCTAGTTCCTCCATATCATTGTAAAAACTTGATAAGGTCAGTTGTCTTAATTTTAGCCATTTTAAGAGCATATAGTGGTATTTCATTATGGTTAATTGTGTTTCCCTAATGATTAATGTTATTAAGCATCCTTTCATGATCTTGTTTGAAGTGCATTTATCTTCTTTGGTAGAGTGTCTGTCCAAATCTTTTGCCCATTTTTTGTTTCCTTGAGTTTTGACAAATCTTAATATATTTAAGATTATATTAATAATCTTAATATATTCTGGATACAATACAATACAATGAATACAATTCAAAACATTTTCTCCAAGTCTACAACTTATCTTTTAGTTATCTTAGCATTGTTTTTTAAAGAGAAACTTAAAATTTTGATTAAATCAAATTTATTGAGTTTATTGCTTTATATGGACTATGTTTTTGATATCCTAATAAAATTTTTTTTGGTCTAACACAAGGTCTCAAAGGGCTTTTCATATGTTCTCTTCTAGGAGGGGAAAAAAACCTAGGTTTTACATTTAGGTCCATGTATCATTTTGAGTTAATTTTTGATTACAGTGTGATGTATGGAGCAAGTTGTGTTTATTTTATCCAGTTGTTCCAACACTTGTTGGAGAAAAAAAGACATATACTTTCTCCACTGAATTGCCTTTGCATCTCTGTTGAATGAAAATCAGTTGTCCACATATGTGTTAGTCTATTTCTGGTTTTGCTATTCTGTTCTGTTGATCTATAAATCTGTCTTTACACTAATACCACCCCGTCTTGATGACTATAGCTTTATACATCCTGAGATCAAGTAGTATTAGTCTTTCAACTTTGATTTTCTTTTTCAAAGCTATTTTGGCTATTTGAAATCTTCTGAATTTCTATGGAATTAGTTTGTCAATTTTCACTAAAAAGCCTGCTGAAATTTTGATTAGGAATGTGGTAAGTCTATTTTTTTCTCTTTTAGTATTCTTTTTATTTTCATATAAATTAATGTCCTAGAAAAGTTAAAATGAAAACACTAAATACAGTACTGCACACAGCAACCTCTGTTAAATGTCCTATTATAGCACTGAAGAAGGTCACATACACACGGAATGCACTTGGAGGGACTGAAGGAGACAGTAAGATGGCAGAATAGCAACTTGAGAACCACTACTTGGTCTGTGCATGTCAACTACAGATTGAAAGGCAAAGGAACGACTTTACACAAATACAAACATAGATACAATTCAGGTATTCTTTTTGAGAATGCACATTCTAACACTGTGATGTCTTCTAATGCATAAACAACATACAACCCTCAATGTTTTATAGTTTTCAGTGACAGGCCTTTTACATACTTTGGCAAATTTGTCACTACATGTTTCATATTCTTGATGAGATTGTAAATGATAATTTTTATTTCAATGTTTATTGTTCTTTGCTAATATGACAACATTTTTGTAATATGTTGACCTTGTAGGATACTATAATCTAGCTAACTTCAATTATTAGTTCCAGTAGCATTTTTGTATACTCCATTGGATGTTAAATGAAAATACAGTTCAATTTTATTCTATTTCAGAAGGCTTTTCTGTATATATACTACGTAATATATATACCTAAGTATTTCATTTTGGAGGAAATACTAAATTTCAATATTTGATTTTGAATTCTGTATGTTTATTTTTACTTTATCAAAATGTGATTGAATTTTATGTGCTGATCTTATAACCAGTGAACTTGTTGAACTCAGTTAATAGTTCTGGGAGTTTTTTGGTAGCTCCCTTGGAGTTTTATTTGTTATGTGCAAATAGGGACAGGTCTATTTCTTCCTTTCTAATCTGTATGCCTTTTATTTCTTTTCTTGCCTTGTTGTCTTGGTAGAGCTTCCAGTAGTATGTTGAATGTGAGTGGGGAGAGTGGATGCAGCTAAATTCCCTGGAGATGGATTGGCCTGTTCATGTTTTGCATTTAAGATTTTCTAGACAGAAGTAGAGCAGCATTTGGCTGCTCCCACTATTGAGGCAAGACCTTCCTTTAAACTTTACCCAATACCCATTGGATTATGAGGTTTTCTAGTCTAGCTGATGGGAGTGGGCACTGCCCTCTGCTGAGCTCAGAGAACTGGTTCATCTGATCTTTTGAATGAGTCATTTCCAGACTCTGGTATTAATAGTTTCTCACATGTAAGCATTGATCAGTGTTGTGGCTTGTCCTGGATTAAAGTCTCTCCTTAGAACAGACAATATGAAACACGTTCTCTAGAGAGGCACACTTGAAATGCACAGCTTCAGGCCAAAATTGGAGGATTGGGGCATAGAATTTTATTTACTTTCTTGTATTAGCGCATTAGAATGAATTGTTTTGTCAGATGGTCACATGGTTATACAGCCTAATGAATTAGAAGACAATTACTTAGCAAGTGAATTTTTTTTGAAACTTTCCCACAAATATGTGCAAACAGGCAGTGGTTAACAACCCTTATGTATGGACCTCCAGGGTGTTTGTTCCTAAAGCTTAGCAAAATGTTGATAATTGTTAAATTTGACTGATAGGTACATGGTCTATATACTCTTCTACTTTTGCATTTGTTTGCAACATTCCATAATAAAAAGCTTGGAAGAAAAATGAGATCTATTAGGATTCCTGGGCCTCTGTGCCTGGAGCTTGATTTAGTATAGCTTGGTAGTGGGACTCGGGAATCTGAATTTTCACAGGTGCCCTAGCTCAGGTGGTCCTTAGGCCACCACAGTTTGCAGGACACTAGCTGTTAGGTGATTTATTTTCTCAACTTAGTTGTCCTTATGGTTGCTGTTTTCCCCATCATTGTCCACAGACCTCCAACCATTAGTGCTCAAGTAAGTGAACACTCTCTGCTCGGCTCATGAAGCTCTTACCTGAACAGCCTCTGGAGTATAGGGATCCTTGCAGCCAAAATTATAAGAATGAAACTCTCCTCCAGTCAAAGAAGCAAGGTCTTTCAAAAATCCATTTGCAATCTCATCATTGTAACAAAAGGAGATGGTGTAAATAGGAATTTTCTGAAAAACTTTGACCTGGTCCATAACCATTTCAGGTGACTGAAATGATACATTTTGAGGGAGAAGAGGGGAGATAGAGAGGAAGAGACAAAAAAAAAAAAACAAAAACATATGTGAAAGTCCCTAGTATTTGTTCTAGATAGTGAAATTCTCAATTAGTAATGCCTTATATAGTGGAGAGGGACTTCTTGGGAAGGTGTCAATCCAATTCGGCTGACAAAGCAAACTGCCAGGTGGTGAGAGTGACTCAACGCATGCCCTCTGGGCTCACAGTTGCTGTGGGAAAAGTCTGGGAGGAAGATTTGACTAATCCAATTACTCAATTTTAGTGCACCTAAGTCTAGAATCCATGCTTTTAAAGGGTTGGACCTGATGGCTCAGATGGTAAACAATCTGCCTGCAATGTGGGAGACCCAGATTCGATCCCTGGGTTGGGAAGATACCCTGGAGAAGACAAAGGCTACCCACTCCAGTATTCTTGTGGGGAGAATTCCATGGACAGAGGAGCCTGGCAGGCTACAGTCCATGGGGTTGTAAAGAGTTGGACATGACTGAGCAAATTACACATATATACACATAATTTTGAGCAGGGCTTTTCAGATGGTGTTAGTGGTAAAGAACTTGCTTGCCAATGCAGGAGACATAAGAAACTCAAGTTCAATCCCTGGGTCAGGAAGATCCCCTGAAGGAGGTCATGGCAACCCACTCACTCCAGTATTCTTGCCTGGAGAATCCCATGGACAGAGGAGCCTGGCAGGCTACAGTTCACGGGGTCATAAAGAGTCAGACACGACTGAAGTGACTTAGCATGCATGCATGCACATACTGCTGGACACTTAAAGTACTGAGTCATGGGTGAGACATCCTGGATACTGGGATTCTACAGAATGAGGCCACAGGATCTTGGGGTGGCTTCCAAAGCTTCTACTCCTAAAAAGCAATGTCCAGCTTTGGATATCTCAGAGTGAAAAAAGTGGTATCTCAGAGTGAAAAAAGAGACATTTATTTAGGGTCCTTTCATGTTCTGAGCACTCTGTTGGGGATATAATACTCCAGTTAACCCTCTTGTGACAGAGTTTTGGAAAGATTACTAGTTGCCCACCTCTCCTTTTTACTGTCAGAGACCTGGTTTTCTTTTCAAGGCAACAACAGACTCAGTTAAAAACAAACATACAAACAAAACAAAACACACATAAAAACTCATCTTCTGACACTTTTTTTTTTTTTTGCAGCTAGGAGTGACCACATGACCCAGGTCTATCCATTGAAGTTTCAAGGGAAAGTTTTTTTTGCCAATAAAAAGATAAAGACTTAACAAAAAAAAGCTAATGTCCTTCCTTTTTCCACCCCTGCCTCCTGGAAAACGGACACTCTGCTTAGGCATGAAGCAGCTGTCTTGTAACCATGAGGGTGGATGTCAAACACAAAGATCAGGTGAACTAGGAAGTTTAAAAAAGCCTGTTTTCTTGGAGAAATCCTTGAGTAGCTGTATAACCTAGACTACCTACCACCAGGCTTCTTCTTCATAGGAATATAAACCTCTCCATTTCAGTTATCATTTGTCTTCTCTCCTGCTTTTTTCTCCCAGTAATATGAAATCCTAATTGGCACAGTAGGTATGGATTCCACTTAAAGATGGAGAAACTGAGGCTCAGAAGGACTAAGCTTCCTAGGGTCACCAATCTTTTAAGTGGTAAGACTAGATTCAAAGACAGATTTTAGTACTAGAAGCAATGCCAGATTGTTTTCCCCTGCTTGCAATAAAGACTGTCACTTGACAAGGATCGACTCTCTGTAAACATTACCAGACACACAGGGAAGGTGAACTGATGATTTGCCCTGCTGCCTCTCCACCAGCACCACCACACCCAGCTCAGTGCCCTCAGAAGCTGCCTCTGGTTGTCTTGCCCTCATTGCTTCTGTATTTCTCAGTCCCTCTTTGACTGATTCAACTTGCTGGCTCCTTTAGCCAGTTCCCACTCTCCACCCCCAATTCCTATTCTTTGACTATTAACCCTTCCAAAATGCTTCCTATGAACCCTGGGGAGGTGGGGTGATGAGGGAGGAAGCCTCTGGACTCACCACCTGCTGGCCTTGAGCAGCTCACACGCTGCTCAGGGAGGTCTCATTCCAGCCACTACATACACATGACTTCGGTCTCTGTATTTGGTTCCAGTTTTGAGCCTGCCCTTGCCCATAAGCCCGACTGAGTGCCTAACACACACACTGCCCATAAGCCCACCCCACTTCTCCTCTCTTCTCTCCTCTCCTCTCTGCCCATTAGCTGGTTCCAAACCAAACAGCAACCTAACCTAGCTGAGGGCTGACCCCATCTGTCTTGACAACTTCAAGGACAGAGCAAATCTCTCTCTGCTGCCTGCCTCTCCTTCAACCTAGCTTCTATTGTGAGCACTTACCATGGACCAGGCACTAAGAGCTCTGCTCTGCTCTCCCTGCATCCCCTCTACAATCCACCAAGGAAGGTACAATAATTATTCTCATTTCTTACCAAGACTCCTCACCACTGGCCCTCATCCCTATATACCAGACTGGAGATATCAGACCTAAATTCTGTTAATTTGATGTGATAGGTTTTAGCTAGAAATTGCTCCTATATTGGGGCTTCCAAGGCAGCTCAATGCTAAAGAATCTGCCTGCCAAGCAGGAGATGCAGGTTCAATCCCTTGGTGAGGAAGATGCCCTGGGAAAGGAAATGACAACCCATTCCAGTATTCTTGCTTAGAGAATCCCATGGACAGAGTCTGGTAGGCTGTAGTTTATAGGGTTGCAAAAGAGATGGACATGACTTGTGCTCACTTCGGCAGNATACATGTAAATCCATGGCTAATTCATTTCAATGTATGACAAAAACCACTGCAATGATGTAAAGTAATTAGCCTCCAACTAATAAAAATAAATGGAAAAAAAAAAAAGAGTTGGATATGACTTAGCAACTAAACAACAACAATATATTGACTTCCAGCTGAGATATTTGGGGAGGGACATTAATGTTGATTTAGTGCTGACATTGTGGGTAGCATTTTCATTTTCATATGTTACCTGACATATAAATTTATTTACTCACTGTCTACATGCTAAGTCACTTCAGTCATATCCGACTCTGTGACCCTACGGACTGTAGCCCACCAGGCTCCTCTGTGGAGAGGGTTGCCATACCCTCCTCTAGGGGATCTTCCCAACTCAGGGGCTGAATCTGCATCTCTTATGTCTCCAGCAGTGGCAGGTGGGTTCTTTACCACTAGTGCTACCTGGGAAGCCTGAAAATCTTTGTGTTGCTCACTATCTATCTCCCCATAAAACAGAAGCTTTGCTGAAGGCAGTCGCCTGGTCTGTCTTGCTCTCCACCGTATCCTAGATTGATAACAGTACCTGGCTCATAAAAAGTGTTCAGGAAATATCGATGGAATGCATTCACAAGAACATCATAGCAACCCTATAAGGAGGGGGCATTAGCTCCAAGTCATGGATGAGGAAACTCACTTTGGGGACATTTGCCCAAGGTCATTCAGATGGGCAGTGCAGGTGATGAGCTCTAACCCGGGTCTCTGGCTTTAAAGCTATTTATTTCGATCAGTCCTGACAGCCCAAGAGACCACAAGCATGAGAAAGTCCGCTACATGTATTGTTGTGAGCCCCCAGCCCACACGCAGTCCCAGGTAATGTTTGCTAAACTGGCACGAGGTTCCAGAGGCCAGCGAGGTGGTAGAGAACTGAGCAGAGGGCGGGGCTGCATCTTAACTGCAGAAGGAGCTCGATCTCTGCCAGGGAAGACAGCATTCCTGTCCTCCTGCCCCCCACCCGCAGCCCCCAGGGATTCTCCTCTGCTGGTGGGTGTCCTCACAGCTTTGACAAGAAGACTCAGTAGTTGAAGAAAACCTTTTCTCCCTGCAGCCTGACTCTCCCTGACTCTTCTCGGATGATAAGTGGAGCTACTGCAGTAGCTCAGATGGAAGGGCTTTGAATGCAGAAGCCGCTCCCTGCGTAATGCCCATGTGACTCCTTAGTCAATTCCCTTCAGAGGCCCTGTTGGTCCCTAAGATGAGATCCCTAACCTGAGACACTCGCCCTGGTGCCTTGTCCCTGAATCTAAACAGGTGTGTGGCCAGATGTCCCTTTCACCACAAAGGTCAACTTGGGGTGACAAGAAAGGCAGGAATGGTTCTCTCATGGTCTGAAGGAGGTTGGTTTGTACAGGGGGAGTCCCCTGTGCCTTCCCCTGCCCCTACCTCTCATATACCCCACGTGGGTCCTTATTACACATCTGTTTTTGTTTAAAATGATGCAGTTAACTTCCTCGCGTCCATTTTCTCAATTTTTGCGAGAGTGAGGCCCTAACTTCAAAGAAATACCCAAACAATCACAGCCAAATGTGCTGGGCTTCTCTAGCAAAGGCCCCACGGTGTCCACTCACCCCTATAGATACTCAGCAAAGGACACCTAGTGGTCCCAGGTTAATGAAAACTAGTATTACTAGAACTCTTTGAACTTGATTAAAGACTTGGCTTCCATATAATTCTGCCCTGGACATTTTTAATAAACAAGCAGTACGGTGATGTCCATGTAACGGAATCCCGAATAGCATCTCTGTGTGTTCTTCCAAGTAGAAAATTCTGCTGAGTACTGGGAATGATAACATTGGTCTTACCTATTCAGGTCCTACACAGTCAGTGAAAATTAAAAAACAAATGGAGATTGAGTACTACATTTTAATGTCCTCTACATAGAACATGAATATCAAATATCCATTTACTTTTTTGAGAGAATCTGAGGGGCGATACAAACTAAATAGACTGCATGTGGGGAAAGGGCAGAGACGAATATGAAATGCCTGAATGAGAGTTTATAAATCACTATTTTAGTAATTTATATATTCCTAATTCCAGCTCATCCACATCCCTAGTTTCTCATCATTAACTGGACCACAGACCCTCTGAGAATCCAGGGAAAGCTACTTACTTTCTCTCCAGAGAAATGTATTTAAATATACTTTAAATATATTTTTTGGAGATTCCAATTTAAATATAGTTTTNTTTAAATATATTTTTTGGAGATTCCAATTTAAATATAGTTTTGGGAGATCCCAGATCCTCATAAGCCTGTGATGAACTCCAGTCTAAGCATCCTTCTTAACACATTGTTGGTATAGTGTTACTTGGCAAATCCTCTTCAAGGGCTATATGGCAGGATCTATCAAAATATATATCTTTTTACTGAGAACACTTCTCAGAATTTATGCTACAGATACACTCATACAGGTGCAAAATGATATATGTGCACAGTTACTTTTGCAACCTTGAATAGAAAGATTGAAATAACCTAAATGTTCATCTCCAGGGGACATTACTAAGTAGCTGTGTGATGGAAGAGTAAGCAGCTATTAAAAAATGTGGAAGCTCTTTATGAGACGATATTAAGTGATCTCTGAGGTATATTGTTTTATTTATTTATTTACAAAAAAAATTTTGGCCAAACCCTAAGGCATACGGTATCTTAGTTCCCCAACCAGGGATCAAACTCAGTCTCCCTGCACTGGGAGGCAAAGTCTTAACTACTGGACTTCCAGGGAAGTCCTCTGCTTTATTAATAAAGGTTCAGAATTGTGTGTGTAATATGCTGCGTGCATGTGTGCTAAGTCATTTCAGTTGTTTCCAACTCTTTGCAACCCTATAGACTGTAGCTCACCAGCCTGCTCTGTCCATGGGATTCCCCAGGCAAGAATACTGGAGTGGGTTACCATGCTCTCCTCCAGGGATCTTCCTGACCCAGGGATCAAACCTGTGTCTCTGGCACCTGCTGCACTGGCAGGCAGGTTCTTTATCACTAACTCCACCTGGGAAGCCCATGTAATATGTTACCATCTATATCTTTTAAAAAGGAAATATATATAAACATTTATCTGTTTGCATAACAAACTATCTCTCAAAGAAAATAAAGAAACTAGTAATCTACATTGCCTCTTAGGTGATGAACAGGAGGTAGGAGGGAGAATTTTCTCTACATATCCTTTTATACCTTTGTAATATGTACCATGTTAATGTACTACTATGCAAAAATTAAATCAGAAGGTAGTTTTATTAAATCTATGTAACTTAATATGATGCAGTCATTGAGAATGATGTTTCAGAAGAATATCTTATGACTTGGAAAACTGGCACATATTAGATGAGAAAGGGTAGAAAATTGAATTATGAACTACTTATACTTACCTCTTATCCTTCCTTATGATTATATGCCTACCTATATTTTCTAAATTGCAATAAAATCAGTTAGCATTTATTAAAAAGAAAAAGACTCCTTGTCCAGATGACTTGCAAGTCAGAATCTCCAACCTACGCCTTCTCCAAACGCCAGCCCCATACTTACACGGGTTTGGACAGCCATGAAATCAGGTGGCTCAAGCTCAGCTTCCTCCACTGGCAGCCCCTAAGTCTTCACCTTCTTTAGATGTCAGTCAGTTAATAACAATTAGCAGACAAATGGAATCAGTCATCTTGGCCCCCTGCTCTCTTGGTCCTTCCCCAGCCCCTCGCCTCCTACTCGCAAACTGACCAAGTCCTTTGGCGCCGCCCCTGTGGTCTCGCCTCTGGCGGGTTTCTCCCTCCAAGTCTGCTGCTCCTCCCTGAGGCGGGGCCTCACCAGCTCTCACCAAGGTCAGGTCTCTCCCTGGCCCTACTGAGGCGTATTTATAACAGATAGATGGAGGGGCTTTCTGCTCCTGAGAGTGCCCAGTGAGGTAAAGACCACCCTTTCCATGCGACACTCGAGGACCTTCACGGTCTCTCCCAACTGAACCTCAGAGACTCGGCCCTGACACTCTTCTATCACTGCTGTTGCTCTCGGGGTGTCACCCTGAGCAGCCCACATGCTTTTACACCTCTGTTCCTTCTGCCCAGGGTACCAGCAATCTCCTCTGTTTAAAAAAACTCCTTATCTTCCTTTCAGACACAGCTAAAGCATGCCCTTCTCAGTGGATGCTTGCCTGGTCTTCTTTCTGCCTTGTACAGCAGAATTCATCACTGTGTTCCCATTCAATCCGTAGCCTAGGCAACCCTACTCCCTGTATAGTATCAGAATTCACTGTACATGCTAGTACACCCTCCAACATGTAAGCTCCCCTAGAGCAGGACATTATTCATCTTTGTAGCCTCACACCTTGGCACCAGACAAGAAGCATAAACAAAGCACAGTAAACTGCCTTTGAGTAGAAAATACAGTGAAATTGATAGGAAAATCATCCCAAATAAAATTTCACTTTATATACAATTTCTTGGCCACAAATCTAACGCTGCAGTAAAATCTGGTTGTTTTAGTATTTAAGCCTTGGACTGTTTGACACAGGATATTTTACAATATTTGCCTAGCAGTCTTCACATGCAGACACTTCACAATGAAGGAAACAAGTTGATACTAATTCACTTCAGCGGTTAATTTACATTGTACTGGCCCGCACATCCGTATATTTATTTAATGCCCAGAGCATTAGTCTTTCATTCACAAAGCTCAAAAGAAGATGAACAGACTCCACTAAAACTTTTCAAATATTTTCCAGTCAGGCTAAACAAAACAAAGAACATTTCACCAGAAAGGCATGCTTTTGTTTAAATGATTACTAAGTTAAAATTAGGGGTAAAACCAAGGACATTGTGCAGTGACATGTTTAGATTCAGTGTCCCCAAAGGAAAAAAATCAAAAAGATTTCCTTGCTCTTAGTTTATAATAAAATATAAACCAGCCTTCCATGGAAGGCAGACATTTCCTTTCATGGGGTTGGTCTCCAGGCCTATGGGAGTGCTTCAAATTAACCAGACAACACTCAGTGTCACATAAATTTTCCTCAGTGTTGTAGTGGACAAAGGAAATTCTCAATGTGGATGTGTGTTTTACCTCACTTCTGGGTCCCTAAGTTAAGCAAGCATCGTCAACAGCTTTTTGGTGGCAGTGAAAAAGGTCTCCCAATTCTCACTCTCAGCTTTCACTTTCAGGGGATTAGTGAGTCTGTCTTTGTTCCCAACTTTGATAAGTACCTGATCAGGTCTCCCATCTGTCAAAAGGTAGATTACTTGTGTTTCCTCATCAGCAAAAGCAATTTGCAGGGCACTCAGGGTGTTTGTGGAACTTCCAATCTACAGAAAAGAGAGAGAGAGAGACACATACCAAGTGTATACTTCAATCTCAAAAAAAGATCTCACAAACAAGTGTTATTTATTCTCTGCCTCCAAAAAGAAAAGAAGGTATTTGTGAAATAAAAGATAAATTTAAATTATACTGAGATAATAATTTCAGCCCAGGAATTCCAAGAAGTCGAATCCTTATGTATCATAAAAGCATCTATGCAGATAGTCCCAGGAGAGCTAGAAGCTGGGACAATGGATTTCCTGTCCTGATGACAGAGCTCTTAATTCAATTTTATCTTTGTGTGTTTCTGTGGGAGGCACTAACTCAGTTACTGTTCATTCAGCTGTCAGCACGGCTTAAACACACAGCCTGAATACACCGGGTGGGGACCATGTTTGTTTTCAACCAGGATTGATTCATGACACCCAATATTCAGCAAACACAAGTGTGGTGTCATGAGCAATCTGGAGGTACAGGAAGCTGTAAAACTGTAAAATTCCTGCAGCTCTGTCCAGGGGGATGGAGAGAACTGTCACTCCATAATAAAAAAGAGCCAGACAAACAGCCAGTATGTGACTTTTGTTACATGCATGAGAGGGCTCAGATCACAGGGCAACCAACTGGCTCCAAATCTGGGGAGAGGTGGGCATCTGGAGAGTCAGGGGAGATGCAAGCCCTGGCTCCTGGGACAGGATGCAGCCAGACACTGAAGGAGAGCTGGGCTGGGTGGCTGGTGAACTGGCAGAAGCTGTGGGTATATATTGGCAAGAGACCACAACATGGGGGCATCAGTGCTCTTTTCTTTTTAAAATTGTATTTATTCAATATTTAACCAATGTTGTTTGTTTACCCCCACCCGGCTGCGTGGGGTCTTTGCTGCTGCATGCCGGGTTTCTCTAGCTGCAGTGAGTTCTCACTGTGGTAGCTCCTCCTGGGTGCACAGGCTCTGGGGTGAATGGGCTTCGGGAGTCATCGGGCATGGGCTTAGCTGCCCCATGGCAGGCGGGATCTTCCTGGACCAGGGATCGAACTGGTATCTCCTGCACTGCAAGGCAGATTCTTAACCAGGGGAATGCCAGGGAAGCCTGGCATCAGTGCTCTCTGGAAGACTGTTTCACCACAAACCCCACAGGGTAGTCACAGGATAGACTGAGAGAGCCTAGAGAAAGTCTCCTTCATAGGGCAGAACTGTGGAAGAGATTCAGTGACACAGGAACATCCACAGAGACCCTGTCCTCTCTCTCCCTGCAGAACAAAAGCTTTTGTGTGTGTGTTTGAGGGAAAGGGCAGTAACGAACATACTCATCCTCAGGGTGCTGGTCAAAATCCAAGAAGGCTGGGGAATGGAAGAGGAAACAAAAAAGTCCCTACACCTGTGGAAGGAGCAGGGCTACGTTCTGGGCTCAGAGATACTGACAAAGCCACACCCTTGGGACTCCTGGACACCAGGCCCGACTAACACTGAGTCTTATTCAGAAAACACCATCCCTGTTACTCCCCTGGAAACATCAACTAACAAGCAACCTGCAAGAGAAAAGATCTCTCTGAAGCCCAGCGTGAAGGGAAAAATCAAAAGCTGAGGGTGGAGCAGACAACCTTCTGGTACATCATCTCTCACCCTAACACAAAGCATCACTACAATAATGTGAGGGGTATGGTGCAAACAGACCAACCTCAAACCCAGTCCAACTCTTAATTAGATTAATTTAACCCACCCCACAAAAGAAAGGCACGCTCTTTTCCAGGCATAAAAAATATTTATCTCAGTATCAATATACTGCATATGATGTCCAGCTCTTAACAAAAAATTTGTTGTTCACTGTTCAGTTGCTAAGTCATGTCTGACTCTGCAATCCCATGTACTGAAGCACTCTAGGCTTCCCTGTCCTTTACTATCTCCTGGAGTTTCCTCAAACGCTGTCCATTGAGTCAATGATGCCATCGAACTATCTCTGTCACCCACTTCTCCTGCCTTCAATCTTTCCCAGTATCAGGGTCTTTTCCAACGAGTTGGCTCTTCATATCACCTGGCCAATGTATTCAGCTTCAGCAAAAAATAAGCATATCAAATAGAACATACAACATACTATCAAGAGACAAAAGTACTCATCAGAAACAAACTCAGATGTGACACAGATGCTGAAACCATCTGACAGAAAATTTAAAATCACTGTGATTCAAACATTAAAACTTCTAATGGCAAAGGTGAACAACATTCAAGGCCAGGTGGGTAATTTCAGCAGAGATGGAAATGCTAATAATAAAAAACACAGTAAGGGGACTCCCCTGGTGGTCTAGTGGTTAAGAATCCACCGTGCAATGCAGGGAACGTGAGTTCAATTCCTGGCTGAGGAACAAGACCTCACACGGCACGGAGCAGCTGAGCCCCTGAGGCACAGCTATTGAGCCCGCGTGCTCCACAGCCCAGACATCTCAACTGGAGTCTGTGTACTGCCACCCAAGGGCTTGATGCAATGAAGACTGCATTCATGCACGCATTCATGATGCAGTGGAGATCCTGTGTGCTGCAATAAGACCTGACACAGCCTAATAAATAAAAATAAATAAGTTTAAAAATAAACAAACTAAAAATGGAAGAGGAATATGAAGAAATCTTTCAAAGAGTTCAAAGTGCAGTTGTCTCTATATGTCAACAGGAATTGGTCCAGGACCCTTTCTCCCACAGATACCAAAATCTGCAGATGCTCAAGTCTGTTAAATAAAATGACATAGTGTTTGCATATAATGGAATCAAGATTGCTGGGAGAAATATCAATAACCTCAGATATGCAGATGACACCACCCTTATGGCAGAAAGTGAAGAGGAACTAAAAAGCCTCTTGATGAAAGTGAAAGANTCACATCCATACATGACCACTGGAAAAACCATAGCCTTGACCAGATGGACCTTTGTTGGCAAAGTAATGTCTCTGCTTTTTAATATGCTATCTAGGTTGGTCATAACCTTCCTTCCAAGGAATAAGCGCCTTTTAATTTCATGGCTGCAGTTACTATCTGCAGTGATTTTAAATCTTCTCTAGATTACATATAATATCTAATACAGTTTAAATGTTTTGTAAATGGTTGCCAGTATGCAGCACATTTGAGCTTTGCTTTTTGAGACTTTCTGGAATTAAAAAAAAAAATCCATCTGGGGTTGGTTGAATCCATGAATGAGGAACCTGTAGATACAGAGGAATGACTGTAAGTTCAAAATAGCCAAGGAAAGAATTAGTAAACATGAACATAGAGCAATAGAAATTATCTAAACTTAAAATGCAAAGAGGAAAAAGAACAAAACAGAAAAGAGCATCAGAGAGCTGTGGAGCAAATGGTCTGATACATGCTTAATTGGAAACAAAGCAGAAAAGGGAAAAAGAGGGTAGAAGAAATATTTGAAAAAATAATGGTTGAAAATTTCCCAAAAACAATGACAGATATAACTCCATGGACCCAAGGTGGTCAGATAACATCAGGTAGGATAAATAAATGACCTAACACTCTGCCAGTGTGGTAGCTAAGAAAGCCAGGTAGTGAGCTGGGACTTTCATCCCCACCAACTGTAACATGTCCTCCCTGCTCAATGATGTCCATTCCCACTTAGCAGTGAAAAGGTGATCCTCCCCATCAGGTTTCAACAGAGTTCCAACGGGGAACCTGAATTTCAACCTGCACCTGGAAGTATGAGGCAGGGCCCACCTACTATATCCCTGACAGAGCAGTGTCAGACAGTGCCAACTAAATAGGAGGTTAGAATAATATCCAGAGTCTCATAAACATAAGACAAAAATGTCTAGGATTCAGCTGATAAACACTCCTTCATACCAAGAACCAGGAAGCTCTCATTCTGAAATGAAAAAGATGATAGCAACAGCAAGAAGACAGAGATGTTAGAATTATTTGATAAAGATTTTAGAGCAGCTGTGAAAAAAAAATGCTTCAACTAGAAATGACCAACGATCTTAAAACAAATGAAAACTAAAAAACATCAGCAAAGAAATAGAAAGTCTCATGAAAAAAATAAAAGACATGAAGGAGAACCAAATGGAACTTCTAGAACTTAAAAATACAGTAACTGAAATTTTATAAATTCTCTGACCTATGCCAGCTGACCACAGCTCGGTGATATCAGCACATTCAGAACACCTGGGTAGTGTCCTGAACTGACTTGGTTGATTTCTGAACCAAATCAGTCCAAAGACTAACAGTGGAATCTGGTGTTCTTGAAAATGAATTTTACACATTCAGTAAGCAAGCAAAGGTACTTCAGTGAAGGTTTTTGAAGAGAACATAATCACAGTGCAAAAAATGATCTGACATATTTTTAGCCACTTAGATGAGATTGATTGTATTCATTAGTGATTTTTATATAAAGAGGAAACTGCTAACGTTTTTATCCAATGAGAATACATATATAACATCCTGTTATCACAAACTCTAAATTAGCAGGCTCTGAATTAAGGTATTTCCTGTTACCTAGAGTCATAAAAGAAACTTCAATGGATAATCCTGGATGTTTAACAAGCTGAGAATGAATTTAATACTCTTTTCCAGCATATGGTGGCCGGTTAGGACAAAATGTTACAGACATTATTCCTTATAGAACAGATTTCCTCCTCCCATTATTTATTTATTTAAATTACTTTATTTATTTTTGTTGTGGTGTATGGCTTGTGGCATCTTAGTTCCCTAACCAGGGATCCAGTCTAGGCCCTTGGCAGTGAAAGAACAGAGTCTTAACCACTGGACCACCAGGAAATTGCCCCTCCTCTCTTTTTAAAAAGAAAAAATTTTAATTTATTCATTTACTTATTTTAGGCTGCTCTGTCGCTGTGCATGGGCCTTCTCTAGCTGTGGAGAGTGGGGGCGGTTCTCTGCTGTGGTGCACAGGCTTCTCGTAGCAGTGGCTTCTCTTGCTGTGCATCATGGACTCTAGAGCTTGGGTTTAGTAGTTGTGGCACAGGGCCTTAGTTGCCCCACAGCATGTGGGATCTTCCTGCATCAGGGATTGAACCCATGTCCCTTTGGCAGGTGGATTCTTCCCCACTGGACCGCCAGGGAAGTCCCCTTCCTCTCATTTGAAAAAAAAAAAATCCCAAAGGAGCTCCAGAACATCCCAATGATAGTGCAAACCCTGCTTGTTCATACCCAGGGAGTTCCACTAATGGCCATGTGTAGCTCCTGTCAAATCTGGAACTCTAATTCAGGCAACTAATCATTTTAAAGTTATTTATGATCCATATTTGACTTTTTAAGAATAGTCCTTGGTCTCAATTTTAGTATATCTTAAATATGTAGAATGCTATGTGATTCTAAAAAAAGAACTTTTAAAATGAAGGTAAGTTCAAGACAACAGAAAAGTTGAGGAAAGGGAAATTCTTCCCAGTAGTCTGTGTAGATATAAAGTTCTCCAAGTAAAACAGACCTCTGAAGAAGTGATTTTACCTTTTTATTACATTCTGCTGCCCTATCTCTGTCCTGGCTTTCAGCCCTAACCACTCATATTATACTGTGTATTTCCACAAGTTCATTACTTTTGAGCAAAATCCACTATTTAAAATAGCTGTAATATATCATTTGAAACAAGCATGAAGCCTCAGAAGAAATAAATATGAACGTTTAACTAAAAAACCTATATTTTGAAATTTGTTTTCATACAGGGGCTGAGACTTGAGCTGAGGGCAATGTTGTCAATAGAAGCCTATCTAAATGTTAGATATCGTCTAAAAAGATTGGATTAACACGACCTTTGTAAGTAAAACAAGTGTCTCTGTGAAGCCATGGCCAACCATGGAGTTCAAAGCAGTTTCTTAAGCATTTCTATCCTGATCTCTGTTCTTCTCCCAGACCCAGCCTCCTCCTTACCTTAACGTCTCTAATCCAGGCCTGGGCCCCTTTCAGATTCTCCTCATTGATTTCAACAAGTTTTTCCTGCCAAGCACTGGCTTGAGCATCAAACTGCACAAAATTGAATTTCCTTTTATGTTTCAACTGTTCCTGTAAGGGATAATTATTATTTAGTAATAAAAATCATTCAAGTGTGAGAAGGGATTAGGACAGGTCATTGTTTGATACATTTTAATCACTATGATATCTCTTTTCAGTTGTAGCAGCTAAAAATTACATTCAATAGAGAAAAATCTTATCTAGTACAAGAGGCGTTTAAATAAAATTTACACACAGTTTAGACATTAAACCTTTACAAATGTATATATGGATGAACATATATCAGTATAAGTTTATATATATATATATAATATTACATTATTTTTCTTTAACACTGACATTAATGGTATATTGAATATGCACACTAAATGCAACATGCTTAAAGAAAAGAAGAAATCCAAAATAGTGTCATCACTTGGTCAACAACTTTTTGGCAAGGCCATCATTACAGTTGCAGATTTGTTCACTTGCCTTCCATCAGTCCATATTTCTCCAGTAGAAGTTCATCAAATTAAAAATTGTGTTTTGTATTTGTCAAACACACCCTGCAATTGTTTTCTATGGTTCATACTCACTTGAACACCACTAACTCATGACAGTACCCATTTATAGGTGTGGAAACTAGGAGGCAGGGAGTGTTAGCAATCTGCTTCAGGTTGCACAACTCAGAGGTGGCACAGGTGGAATAAGGACCAGACGCTCCTGACCAACAGCCTGCCCTCCCCCAACACATCAGTTCTGGGGCCAGTACATGCAGCATCCCCAACACTCAATGGGAATTTAAAATAAACACCACCAGCTGAAGAGTACCTGGAAAATAATGAACGCATGTGCATGCCACAGATTTCAGGATAGAGCAGACCTGGGATGATGGACATAGAAATTCACTTAGCAGTCTGTACATTACAGGAAGGACCCACTGACCCAAGGATCTACTTGCAAAGAATGGATGACTCTCACTGGCAAAAAGGATCCTTTTTCTGAAGTGGCTTTCCTGTGGATTTCTAAGTACAAAGCTGGCCTGAGCATCTCTTATAACCACTGCATGTCATGACTGGTGAAGATGTACTCATGATGCACAGGTGCCCAGGTGCCTGATCTTACCTGTATGAGCTGGATGACCTTGCTCTTCACCAGGTCCAGTTTCCCCTTCATTGAGTGAGACGTGTCAATGAGGATGTAGACACAATCACTAGGCACTTTTCCAAAGAGGCCTCGACTCCCATCCTGTAGCCATTTAATCCTGGGCAGGAAATAGTTGAAAGTGAATGCTTAGAGCCTGTGGCACTGAGAACATCTTCCTAAGAACTTTATGATACATCTACAGAGGGAAATCAATAGGGCATAAAAATAAATCCAATACTAGGCTCCAAAGCCAAAAGTAAATTATTTCCTGTCATCTGATATTTTGAGGCCTTTAGCTATGACTTCAGACCATTTATTCTTCTAACCCTGATGACTGCAGTCAAGCTAGGAATGCCAGCACATTCCTGAAGCTTGAATGAAGCTTATGGATAGAATCAAGCATACCCAGATCCCAATAATAATCAAGTGCCACAAGGTTGTGTAAGCAGGACCGCTTCTGTGGTCCACACTCAGGGTCCCATCACAGATGTAAATGGTTTAGGAAGTTCATGGTGCAGGCAAAGTGTGGAAGAGAGGGCAGGGCAGACATAAAAATACTTGAAATTGAGTTCAGAGTTCAGCAAGCCCCAACAACTGGACTTTACAGGGCAGAACACTGAAGAGAGTGCTGCGAAGGAGAGAAAGCGGGTTGGGGGGTGATGGAAGAGAGACAGAGAAGGACAGAGTGTGCTCCAGACGTCTGCAGGAGGGTTCTCGAGAGATTTTGGCTAAGTCATGATCAGGGCATGCAAGTGAAAAAACTACTGAAGTCAGAGAATAAATCACCAAAAAAGGAGTAGCTGGGCCAATCCCTCAGAGCTTACACAGGCCTGGGAATAGCTCATCTTCCAAGCAGTCAGAGTGGAAAGGCCTCCATAATGTATGTGGCATCAAGTAAAGTCCTCATAAGGGTATTGCTTTAGTAATAAGACCAAATGAATCCTGGACCAAAATGCCTCCTCGTTAGCACTATGCTAACATAACTTAAAAGCAAGTCCCAGAGTAAATTAACTGCACTCCAAGTAACTTATCTGCATCGCATAACACACATTTAAAAAATATAACAAAATCCAGTTCCCAATAATGTTACATTCAAAATGTATGGCATTCAGTAGAAAATTATCAGGCACACAGAGAAGCAGGAAAATATGATTCATAATCAAAGAAAAACAGATCAATAGAAACAGACCTCAAAATGACACAGATGATAGAATTCTCTAAAAAGAATGCTACACAGCTATTATAAACATAACTCATATGTTCAAGAAGATAAAGTAGGAATAGAATGAGGAGAAGAATGGAAGACATTAAAAAAAATCCTGAGGGAAAATATACTGTATGCTATTAATAGTAAAATAGACACTAGCAGAAGAAAAGATCAGGGAACTTTAAGAAAGACATAGCAAACAATTAAAAATAAAATACAGGGAGAAAAAGGTTTAAAAAATATAACAGAGGACAAGCAACCCATGGAACAATATCAAGGAGTCTAACATATGTGTAATTAGAAACTAAAGTGGCGGGAAAGGGGATAGAAAAATATTTGGAGAAATACAACCAAACATTTCCAATTTTGATGAAAATACACCTACAGATCCAAGAAGCTCAAAGAACCCAAACAGACAGAAAAAAAAAAAAAAGATACCAAGACACATCATAATATAATGGCTGAAATCTAGTAATAAAGAAAAAAATCTTTAAAGGAGCCAGAGACAACATAAGAATAATAGGTGATTCCTCATCATAAATTATGCAAGTCAAAAGAGAATGGAGAAAAAATTTTAAGGTACTGAGAGATGAAACTGTAAAACTAGAATTCTATCCTTAGCAAAAATATCTTCCAAAAATAAAAGTAAATTCAGGAGTTTCTCAGACTAAAACAGCTGAGTAATTCATCACCAACAGACGTGTGCTGGATCTAAACAAAAAGAGTAAAGAGCAACATACATGTCAAATACGTGTATAAGTATAAAATACATTTATTCTCATTTTGAGTCTATTTACAAGACAATAGATTATAACGTACTTTGGGCTTATAGCATAAGTAGAAGTTAAGTGTAGAACAACAATAGAAAACACCGATAGGGAATGGAAGTTGGAAGACTTTCATGATATACATGAAGCAATACATTATTATTTTAAGGTAGACTGTGATAAGTTGGGGCTTCCTGGTAGCTCAGGGGTAAAGAATCTGCCTGCAATGCAGGAGCTGCAGGAGATACAGGTTCTGTCCTTGGGTCGGGAAGATCCCCTGGAGGAAGGCATGGCAACCCACTCCAGTATTCTAGCCTAGAGAATCCCATGGACAGAGGAGCTATAGTCCATAGGGTCACAAAGAGTCGGACATGACTGAAGCAACTTAGCATGCTTGCACATGTGATACGTTAAAGACTTATATTGTAAATGCTAAAGTAGTCACATCATAACAAAACAAAACAAAGAAGTAGTTAATAAGTCAATAGTGGAGATAAAATGGAATCATAAAAAAATCTTCCAACAAAAGAAAGCAGAAGAAGTTAAAAAGGGAACAAAGAACATGTGGGACAAATAGAAAACAAATAGCAAGATTTTAAGTTTAAATTCAATTGAATCGATGATCACACTAAATGCAAATGATCTTAACACTCTAACAAAAAGTCAGAGATGGTCAGATTGGATTAAAAATAATATCTCTATATATTCTACCAATGAAAGGCCTAGTTCAATACATATAGGTAAATGTAAAAGGGTAGAAAAAAGATAAATCCTACAGAAAATAATCAAAAGAAAGCCAGGGTATCTATACTGATTTTAGACAAAGCAAATGTCACAACAAAGAATTTTACCAAAGATAAAAAGGGACATTTCATAACAATAAGGGAGCTGATTGATCAGGAGAATATAATGACCACAAGTGTTCATGTGCTGGATAATTGAGCTTCAAAATTCATGAAGAAAAAACTGATAGAACAGAAAGAACTGGACAAACACAAAACTATACTTGGAGATGCCAGCACTTTTCTCTCAATCATTTATAGAACAATTAAGCAGAAAATCAGTAAGAATATGGAAGATTTGAATAATACTATCAACAAACTTGAGCTGAGATAAAGTACACTCCACCCAAAGAAAGTTTTTTCTTCATATTCTGGGCCACAGAACAGATCTCAATATAAGAACTGAAATAAAACAGTATTTCTCTGTCCACAGTGAAATTAAAAGCTATCAGAAAAATCCACAAATACTTGGGACATGAACAACACATTCCTAAATAACCCTTCGGTCAAAGAAGAAATCTAAGGGGAATTAGAAAATGTTTTGTGGTGAATGAAATGAAATACAACATATCGAAATCTGTGACAGATAGCTAAAGCAGTACTCAGGAAAATTTATAAAATTAAATTTTTATATTAGAAAGAAGAGTCAAAAGCAGTGATCTAAGCATCTATCTTTAAAAACTTAAACCCAAAGTAAAGAGAAAGGAGGAAACAATAAAGATAAGAGTAGAAATCAATGGCATAGAAAGGAGGAAACCTTAGAGAGGAATAAAAAATGAGACCAAAAACCAGTTCTTTGAAAAGACTGATAGGATGGATAATTTCCAGTCAGACTTATTAGAAAACAAAGATGACATAAATGACTGATGTCAGCTTTATGTGTATTTAAAGAAATCGAAGACACAGTTTTAAAAATCCTTACCATGGTGACTTCCCTGATGTTTCAGTGGCTAAGACTCTGCACTCCCAATGCAGGAGACCCAGGTTTGACCCCTGGTCAGAAAACTAGATCCCATATGCTGCAAATAAAGAATTTGCATGCCGCAACTAAAGATCCTGCATCCTGCAATTAAAAGATCCTGTATGCTGAAACAAACATTGAAGATCCTGCATGCCACAATTAAGACCACAACTAAATAGATAAATAAATAGTAAAATAATAAAAAATAAAAAATCTTCTCAGAAATAAAAACTCCAGGCCCAGATGGCTTCAATGGTGAATTCTATGAACATTTATTGGGGAGATGATGCAAATTCTCTATGAAGTCTTCCAAAAAACAAAAGGGGAGAGAAAACTTCCCAACAACCATGGATACTTGGTGGGAGGACAAACACCCCAGAGCTGCCAGGTGGGGTGTTGTCAAAGCAGCGTCCTTTCCCCCAGATCCGAAATCCAAACCACTCTCCTCATGGAGTTGACTCCAAGCCTTAGGCAGAGCAGACTCCAGGCGCAAGAATTACTTTTTCTGTGTAATCATCACCAGCTGGGTTTTGAGAAACTGGGGCTATACAGAGCATACATGGGGTAGACAGCTGTTTGCAGCTTGTGACTTTATAACAGAAAACATGGAAAGAGTGAAGAAGCTTGGACAACAAGTGACTACTGCAGGCTGGGGACTAGACAAAACTTATTAGATTTAGTGTCTAGTCTAATCCAAAAGACACATTTGTAAATGGCATTATTATTCCCACTTTATAAATGAGAAAGCTGACACACACAGACACTGACTAACTTGTCCAGAGTCGCAGCAGATGGCAGGCTGGGATTAGAATCCAGCTCCATCTGACCTTAGGGACTATGCATCTAAGTGGACATGGTCTTCTTAGTCTAGAACTGTCCGCTGGCATTGGGGAGGTGAAAGCATAAAGGTGGGTCACCCCATGAGCTGATGTTGAGGTCACAGCACTAGTACATGAGACTCTTAGGAGCATTACCAGATTTTAAGAACCAGCAGGGCTGAGAGGGGGAGGTCACATGAAATTATTTAGCTGATTCCTAAAATGTATATGTATATTATTTCATTGTATTCAAATGTTTCACAGCATTGTAACAGTTGCTTTGAAATATAATATTCAAGAGTACAGAAGAGAGGTGTTATACAGTCTTGTATTCACCTGAGGTCCACAAAAAAATACAAGACAAAGCAGAAGCATTCCTTTGCTTCCTACAGTGATGCATAAGCAACATGATAACTACATTTTTGCTGCTTTTCAGCATCTAGACTGGCATCAAGGCAGCTCAGAATCTGCATCCTAATATCCCCTTTGGTTATGAACAACCAGGCCAATAGCAAATTGTCAGATGGCAGCCCTGACTTAACAATGCTTACTGGCCATTTCTCTTGATTGAGCTTTACCAAGCACTCAAGCAAATTTTAATTTCAAGGGACGCTGGACCACTTGTACCCTCATGCAAGTACACCAACCTCCTCTGGATCTGGGCCAGAACTGCGTGAACTCTTTCACTGAACCACATGTACTTCTCCTTGGTGATGCAGACGTGGACCAAGCTCCCATCCTTCCAGGGAGCATGGACGAATCTGCTGCAGTATTTCGCATGGACTGTCTTCTTGTTGGTCTCCTGAGGAAAAGATAGGACAGAAGCCACTAAGAAACAACTAATGGAAAGTCCCCAGAAGGCATCTCTGCCTCTGCCTTATTTAGACAGCTGCTAGCCCTCACTCCCACTGTAAGATCATTCAACATTTGGTTCTAGCAAAAACATACCACAGCCTGCTCCATACAGAGCCCTGTGCTGGATGTCATGAATGACAGTCAGAAAGATGTGGGCAATCTCATCTGTGCCCCAAGGAATCTAACGTTTCCAGCAAGAAGACACTAAACACATACAGTGATTCATACCCACATAGAAAGTAGCAAGGCAGAGTACCAGGCACCCAGTACCTGGTCTTGGGTTAAGACAGTAATGACTGAACAAGTTCTGGCAAAGAAAAAAGAGTTCACAGTGGACTGGAGGGTCAAGGAGATCCACAGGAGGTGGGCTTGAGACACTCCAAGCATCTTTCCATTGTTACTCCCAGCTCCAAACGAAGAAAAGCACCCAAGAACCCCATTCCACATCCAGCACCCATTCCTGGACATTCAGAACGGGTCCAAGGACAAAAGCTTCCCACAGAGAGCTTTCAGAAGGTCTGTTTCTGCCACTCATCCAACCAGCTTATAAATGCATTAAGCACTACTCCACCAGGCCCTCTTTTAGGCACCAGGACAATCCATAAATGAAGACCAAAATTCCTACCTCTGTGGAGCTCACATGACCAGGAAAAGAGCCAGATGATAAAGTAATAATCATCTAGCAGATTAGAGGATGACAAATGCTATAGAGACAAAAAAGGCCAGGAAGGAGAGCAGAGAACACCAAGGGACAGGGGAAGGGTGGGGGCAAGCTGAAACCTAGAAGGGAAAACCTCAAAGAGAAGGTGAAATATGAGTGAAACCTGAGGGAACAAAGCGTGTGCCCATTTGAAGGTCTGAGGGCAATCTGAGGACACAGCCAGAACAAAAGCCCTGAGGGAAGCGTTTACCAAGCAAGTCTGTAGACTTTGAGGAAGGGCAGTGTAGCTGAAATACAGCGAGCGAGGGAAAGAGCAAGACGAAGCTAGAGGAGCAGGAGGAGGAGGGGCCAGGAAGCAGATGCTGTAAAGCCTGCTCACTGATGGAAATGACCCTGGCTTATCCTCTGAGTGAAAAAATGAAGCATCCAAAGGTCTTAAAGTAAATTCTTAGTGACAAAAATTTTAAATTGAGACAAAATTGACATTTAACATTATAATAATTTTAGTGTACAACATAATGATTTGATATATGATCTACTGTGAAATGATCAAGAGGGATTTTAGGAGTCAGGGAGCAAAGGAGAAGGCTCAGAGAAGGGAGACAGAATCCATGGGTCCAGAGATGACTGATGGGAGTGGGGTGGAAGGGCGTGATGGGATCAGTGCTGATGCTCCCAAGGCAGGCGAGAAGGGGAACCGTGTCTCCACTACAGTGCAAAGAAGGGAGGAGGAACGCGTTGTCTCTCAGTCTGACCATGTGCTCCGTACTCTGAACCCCATCATGAGGCAGTTCTCACCTGTGCTTCAGGTGTTTCCAAATGGAAACACATGAGACCAAAAGTTATGTGAAAACAGGTGTCCAGCACCAGAATGTCCAAATGGGGAAAGCCCAGTGTTGACAGCCCAGCAAATCTGAATTCAAACTCGGCCTCCACCTGCCACGAGATCTCAGGTAAAGTCATCTAACCTCTTGGAGGCCCTGGGAATTCATTTTCACATCTGTGATATGAGAGCACAAATATTTACCTTGTATATAAAGCAGGTGGGTATTCCATAAATGCTTCTTTCTGACCCACAACATCTGTGATGAAGAAAACACGGAAGGCAACATCTAGTGGGCATCTCCTAAGTGCCAGGCACAGTGCTTGGACGTGTGATTTTCAAATTTAGACTTTACACCAACCCATGTTACAGATGTGGAGAGAATCAATCAGGTTAAATTATCTGTTCCACATCTCATATTTAGTAACAGGTAGAAGCAGCATTTACACCCAGGTCTTCTCATTCAAACCCGGAATGCAGTTAGAACCTTACATGGAACAACTGACTGGTTCAAAATTGGTAAAGGAGTATGACAAGGCTGTATATTGTTATCTTGTTTATTTAACTTCCATGAAGAGTACATCATGCAAAATACTAAACTAGATGGACCACAAGTTGGAATCAAGATTGCCAGGAGAAATATCAACAATCTCAAATATGCAAATGATGCCACTCTTATGGCAGAAAGTGAGAAGAGGAACTAAAGAACCTCTTACGAAGGTGAGAGAGGAGAGTGAAAAAGTTGGCTAAAAGCTCAACATTCAAAAACTAAGATCATGGCATCTGGTCCCATCACTTCATGGGAAATAGATGGGGAAACAGTGGAAACAGTGACAGACCTTATTTTCTTGGACTCAAAAATCACTGCAGATGGTGACTGCAGCCATGAAATTAAAAGACACTTGCTCCTTGGAAGAAAATCTATGACCAACATAGACAGCGTATTAAAAAGCAGAGACATCACTTTCCCAACAAAGGTCCATACAGTCAAAGCTATGGTTTTTCCAGCAGTCATGTATGGATGTGAGAGTGGACCATAAAGAAGACTGACTGCCAAAGAATTGATGCCTTCAAATTGTGGTGCTAGAGAAGACTCTTGAAAGTCCCTTGGACAGCAAGGAGATCAAAGGAGTCAATCCTAAAGGAAATGACTGGAAGGCCTGAGGCTAAAGTTTAAGTTCCAGTACTTTGGCTACCTGATATGAAAAGCAGACTCATTGGAAAAGATGCTGATGCTGGGAAAGACTGAAGGCAAAAGAAGAGGTTGGCAGAGAATGAGATGGTTAGATAGCATCATCCACTCAATAGACATAAATCCGAGCAAACTCTGGGAGACAGTGATGGACAAGGAAGCCTGGCATGCTGCAGTCCATGGGGTTGCAAAGAGCTGGATATGACTTAGCAACTGAACAACAACCACAGAAGTAGCATTTACACTCAGGTCTTCTCATTCAAACTGGGTGTACTTTCCACCCTACCACAATGCCTGGTACATAGTGAAGGCTCGATAAATATTTTTTAGAGGAATAAATGATGAGACTAGAGTGAGTTTCTGAACATCAGGGCTGGCTTTGTGCTCAAGCTGCATAAGTAGCCATGAATGTGATGTGACGTCATGGGCACCCCCAAAATATGAAGTTGTTAGACTTTGCCTGCAATTCCCTATTAGAAAAGTACTTTTGTTTTCTCCCCTCACCTGCTCACCCATCTTAGAAATGCTTCATAGCAAGGCCTTTTTAGTCATTTATTTCTCAGTGTCTTGATTTCCTGGTTCTCTACCTACAAAGCAGTTTTTATAGTTAAAAGTTTATGGGGTTCTTCCCAGTGGGAGTCTAGGGTAACCCTAAATAATCAGTCTCAGTTTTAGGTATAAATCCAGTTTCAGATATGCAGCTCCAAATACTACTAAAAGCAAAACTGTCCCTTTCCCATCAGTAGTGGTGACAAAGGATAGCTATACTGCATGTTACAGCTATATTGTATTTGACAGCTATACTGTAAAAGCTACTCTCAACCTTCACTATATTAGAACTTGCTAGCATCAGAAATTTGAGGCAAAATTCCCCATTTATAAAGCCAAACTCTTCAAACCATCCTTGTAAAATTTCATTTAAATTTGTCAAGAAAGCAAAGGAGAAAATCAGGATTAGAGAAGACCTGTGTATACCACATTGTAGGGAGCTTGCAGTAAGCTATGTTCAAACTGACAGAAATTCCTATTTTTCAATATTCAGGGCCTAATTATTTTAAAGATGAAAATGTGATTAAGTATGATTTCCTGAACTAATAATGTTACTGAATAACGTCTACAGAATCAGAAAAATGTGCTGGGGGAGGAAACCCACAAATGAGATTTCCCTGCAATGTAGCAATTACTCTGGATCCCAACATGTAAGCCAGGAAACAAGTCTTGCATCAATTCTGTATTTTTTCTAATTCAATTTTAGTATTTTCCTCTTGCAGTTCATTCTAAACACACAGCAGTAAGAAGGCAAAAATACAACATCACGTGGCTAATGTGGCCCCAAAGAAACACAGCGCTTCCTTGGGAGGAAATGTGGAATCCAGGGGCCTAAGAAGGAGTGTCAAAGGGACTGGAGCTTCACCTCGACAGGATTGAGAGACACTGCAGGGATGATCCTGACACTGAATCATAGTCTCAGAGGATACATAAAGGGACATGACATTTCCTTTCCTAGGAGTCTCTGCTAGGCTGCCATGACTGGCATGGCTACTCTGTGACTTGCATTTTAGCTCTCATTTCAGTGTATTCCTGGGTTGGGAAGATCCTTTGGAGAAGGGATAGGCTACCCACTCCAGTATTCTTGGGCTTCCCTTGTGGCTCAGCTGATAAAGAATCTGCCTGCAATGCGGGAGACCTGGGTTTGATCCCTGGGTTGGGAAGATTCCCTGGAGAAGGTAAAGGCTACCCACTCCAGTATTCTGGCTTGGAGAATTCCCTGGACTATACAGTCCATGGGGTTGCAAAGTCAGACACGACTTTCACTTACTCAGTGTGGACCTGGATTTTCACCACCTTCTAAAAGAGATTTCCATCAGTTTTACAAATTTACAATCATCATTTTATCCTGATGTTTCTGTTTCATATGGAGATCTTTTTAGTCTTTCCATAATTCTAAATATTGGATAGCCTTCTTGGTCCTGTTCTACACACTAGAGATTCTCAAAGTGTGACCCATTGACCGGCAGCTCCAGTATCATCTGGCAATTATTATAAAGGCAGATTCTTGGGCCTGGCCTCAAACCCAGTGACTCATGCACGCTAAGGGTTAGAAGCCACTTATACATACACAATGGAGTATTACTCAGCCATTAAAAAGAATGAAATAATGTCATTCGCAGTAACATGGATAAACCTAGAAACTTTCATACTAAGTGAAATCAGATAGAAAAAGAGAAATATCATATGACATCACTTAATATGTGGAATCTACAAATAAATGATACAAATGAATGTATTTGCAAAATAGAAACAGACTCAGGGACTTTGAGAACAGAACTTATGCTTAAGGGTGGTGGTGAGGGGAAGAATGGAGGGAAGGGATAGTTAGGGAATTTGGGATCATCATGTACACACTGCTGTATTTGAAATGGATAACCAACAAGGACTTCCTGTATACCACAGGGAGCTCTGCTCAATACTATATGGCATTCTGGATGGGAGGGGAGTCTGGAGGAGAATGGATGCATGTATATGTATGGTTGAGTCACTCTGCTCTTCACCTGAAATGACCACAACATTGTTCATCAGTTATACTCCAATATAAAATAAAAAGTTTAAAAAATAAAATAAAGGTTAGGCGCCACTACTGCAGACCATTATCCTTCCACTGCCAGCCAGAGCTGGGCACCTGGAAAAGCTACATCCCTTCAGTACCATTGTCACAATGGAACTGCAGCTTTCAGAAATTTATAGTATAGTCCTTTCCCATGCTACAACCCCTTAGCAAAAATAATTTCATATTTATTGAAAATCCACTAAATGCTGGCTGGCAGTCACTTGCCAACATTCGCTGGAGCATGGAGAAAGTAAGGGAGTTCCAGTAAAACATGTACTTCTGCTTCATTGACTACACGAAAGCCTTTGACTGTGTGGGTCACAACAAATGGTGGAAAAGAGACGGGAATACAATACCACCTTGCATGCTTCCTGAGAAACCTGTATGAAGGTCAAAAAGCAACAGCTGGAACCACACATAGAACAACTGACTGGTTCAAGATTGCGAAAGGAGTATGTCAAGGCTGTATGTTGTCATCCTGCTTATTTAACTTACACGTAGAGTACGCCATGTGAAATGCTGGGCTGGATGAATCACAAGCTGGAATCAAGACTGCTGGGAGAAATATCAACAACCTCAGACATGCAGATGATATCATTCTAACAGCAGAAAGCAAAGAGGAACTAAAGAGCCTCTCGATGAGGGTGAAAGAAAGTGAAAAAGATGGCTTGAAACTCAGAATTCAAAAAACTAAGATCATGGCATCCATGGGCATCTAGTCCCATCACTCCATGGCAAATAGAAGAGGAAAAATTAGAAGCAGTGACAGATTTTACTTTCTTGCTGTCCAAAATCACTGCGGACAGGGACTGTAGCCAGACGCTGCTCCTTGGAAGGAAAGCTTTGACAAACCTAGACAGTGTATTAAAAAGCAGAGATATCACTGACTCAACGGACATGAATTTGAGCAATCTCCAGGAGATAGTGGAGGACACAGGAACCTGGCATGCTACAGCCCATGGGGTCGCAAAGAGTCAGACACAACTTAGGGACTGAACAACAATAAGTCACTGAATAATGTATCTTCAAGATGGTGACAATACAAGAGGACCATAGAAATGCCTGCTTTGGGGAACATTCACCAGCAGTTTCTCTCTTCCATTCAATATGGGGAAACGAAGGGTTTGTCTTTTGACACAATGCCTAGATTTCTACAACTCCTGGTTTATATATAATTATTATCTAATTCACTTATATCTAGAAGCCATTCTTAGACTTGATCTCCACTCCCACAAGTATCATTCAGAGAAGTATAAGGCAGAGAACAGGAGTATCTTTCACAGACAGTCAACCCTGGTCCTGCCCTGGGTCCAGCCCTGGTCCTCAATGCCCCACTCAGGGCAACCCCAACCTAGGGGTTCGCTTCACTTACCGCACTGGTCTGCACCAACTCGTTCTCTGGTTTGGCTTTTATATCAACAACTCCATCAGCGTGGCGGAAGGAGCAGTCAGCAATGACATTGTAAAACGACAGCTTCTGGGCTTTCAAACCATATTTCTGAAGCCACTTCTCTGAGTTCCAGGTGTCCTCTGGATTTGACTCATGTGCTCCTAATTGCAGTTGTGGAATCACAGTCCATCAGTCATTTATATTACACAAGGCTTTCATATGTCATCCTCAACTTAGTATTTTTCCCAAGCTGAAACATATTCCTTGTTAGCTCACATTTGTTGCAGAAGGCACACTTTCCAAAAGCAGGACTGGCAGAGAACTAATTCACAAGACTGGAAGGCAGGAATCTGCTACTTTTCATTTCACTTCCTCCATTACCTAAGTTGCATGGGCGGAGGTGGCTGACAGACAAGGCAAGGTGTCAGCAGAGCATTAGACTTGGGGTCAGAAGCTCTGGGTTCAAGTCCTGGCTCCGTTACTTACTAGCTTGGGAAAGTTGCTCAAACTTGGGTGAGTCACCCCACTTAAACTCTCTGAGTTTCAATAGAATTCTTCACCTGCAGATAGCATCTGCTTAGCCTTTCTAAGCAGGTTGAAGTTATTCAATATGAAAAGTTATATGAAAGTGTGTTGTAATGAAGGAGGAGGAGAAGGAGGGGCAGGAGCTCCCCTGTTAACATGGTAGATTTATCCCTGATTCAGAGCCTGGCTCTCAACTCTGCAGGCTCCGGAACCTCCTCTCAGCTCAGGTGCCTGAAGCTGTGTCTATGACTCACCTTAGGCTCATAGGATCAAGTCTAGCAAGAAGGTCAATTGCCCAAATGTCCTTAGCCTTGGGCACATTCCCTTGGTGTTTTCCAAAGCTTACCTGTACTCTGTAAATGGGAGGAGATGTCATGCTACCTGAGCAAAACACTCGGGTAGCCAGTTTATCAAACAAACAGCAAAGTATTTACCATGTGCTCAGAAACCCTACTACCACCTAAGGGAGAGTGGGGTGTCTGAGGGTGGGCATAGAGGAGGCATGGGTGTCTTAAGCTGGCCCTTGAGAGTTAACTGTACCCTTCTCTTACAGACGCCATGCTCAGTGGTGGCACGTGGTGAAACTGACCAAGCTGGAAGCATTTATAAAATCTGAAAAACAGTGCATGCTACAAATGAGGGCTTTCTTATTCCAGAGAGGGGTTGATAACATTTCTCTACATGCCCTTGGACGGAAGGCAGAGAGGACTCTGAGCTTTTACCCCTAGTGGAACCTTGGGAGGATTGGGAGAAGTTGCTAGGCAGAGAGGTGGTTTTTAAAACAGGCACTACCACATATTAGGTCTACTAACCCTACAGTTTACTCATTTGGATCAGCCATTCTCAACTCTGCACACTGGAATCCTCTGAGATCTTAAAATACGCTGATGCCTGCCCCCCACCCCCATCATGCACTAGATTCTGTTTTAATTAATCTGTGCATTGAGATTTTCGAAGTTCCCTAGGTGATTAGCCAAGCACTAGGGTAAGAGGAAGAGAGCTTTCTAAATTAAGATTTGGTCATCCCATCATTTATGCTTCTACCAGACAGATTCAACTTAAATTATACTTTTAATTAAAAAGTAGCATTCAATGTTGGTGAAATAAAAATATGACCCATAGTTATCCACTACTATATCTAATGAGATATATAATTAGAATAATACATGGAGAAATAAAACACTTGAGAGTCAATTATTTTTCAATAATACATGAAGGATCTGTCCATTCATGTTACACCTGTCCTCAAATTCTAATAGAACAACTTTAAAAAAATTAACTCTGAAACCTACTGGGGCTGGAACTTCTCAAAGAAGCTTGATTTTGGCTTTTGAACTTTAATCCAATCTGCATCAAAAGCCCCTTTGGGCACCATCTCCAATGCCAGCAGTTGGTTTCTATATGATTCATAAAGTGTCTTTTCACCTTGAACAGGGGGATGAAATCAGAATTCTCCCAGAGCTTTGGGAAGATTCTGAGGTTCTCCTGCATCTCAGGAAACAGCCGAAGGAGACTGGAGCCATTTTGGTGAGTAGGGTCAGGTCCCTTGGAGAAATCCTTCTGTTGCTGCTGTTCAGTCTCTCAGTTGTGTCCGACTCTTTGCGACCCCTGGACTGCAGCATGCCAGGCATCCCTGTCCTTCATCATCTCCCGGGCTTGCTCAAACTCATGTCCATTGGGTCGATGATGCCATCCAACCATCTCATCCTCTGTCATCCCCTTCTCCTGCCTTCAATTTTTCCCAGCATCAGGGTCTTTTCCAGTGAGTTGGCTCTTCACATCAGGTGACCAGAGTAGTCATGTTTCAGCTTCAGCATCAGTCCTTTCAATGAATATTCAGGACTGATTTCCTTTAGGATGGACTGGTTGGATCTCCTTGCAGTCCAAGGGACTCTTGAGTCTTCTCCAACACCACAGCTCAAAAGCATCAATTCTTTGTCGCTCAGCCTTCTTTATGGTTCAGTTCTCACATCCATACATGACTACTGGAAAAACCATACTTTGACTATACAGACCTTTGTCAGCAGAAGTAATGTCTCTGATTTTTAATACATTGTCTAGGCTTGTCATAGCTTTTCTTCCAAGGAGCAAGCATCTTTTAATTTCATGGCTGTAGTCACCATCCTCGATGATTTTGGAGCCCAAGAAAACAGTCTTTGACTGTTTCCATTGATTCTCCATCTATATGCCATGAAGTGAATGAAAGTGAATTTTTCCAGAAATCCTGGGCTGGAGAAACCCTTTGAGTGACTGTTTTTCTCCAGTTATTGTTGGTTACAGTCTAAACCTTTGTCTCCTCTTTACTCCTACTTTATTCTCCTCCCTCCTTTATGATTAGTAGGTACAGTAGGAAATAAACTTCATTCAGTTATTTCCATAGCAACATACACCCTATCACAGGCTCTGCTCTGTTTTGGATTGTCTTCTTTTAAAAAGAGAAGAGTCCTTTATCAATGATAAATTCAAGCTGATCAGAAAAGAACTTCCTAAAAACACATCAATCCAATTCTAAGAAGGGATTTTATAGAGCCAGAGACTAAGTTTTGACTGGTAGTTCCACCCAGGATCAGGTACTGCGGTCAGCCTGGGGGCATGATTCAGACTCCCAATTACCCTCTAAATGGAGGTTGGGAGGAAGACCCCCCCAATAACTTGAACCTTATCAAAGAAAGAAGGGGCAGTCAAGCAGGCAAAAACAAAGAGCCCAGGTACTCCAAAGCTGAAAAAAGGAGAGAAAGGGGGAAATCTTTTCACTTTCAGTGCTAATTACACCACCAACACCTGAGCCTCATATCCCAGGGAAGGGAGAGGAGAGGGAGTCATCTGTTCATTAGAGTCACTTACTAAGAGGTCCTCCCCATTCCCCTGTGGTTATCTTAATTAAAAATGCTACATAAATTCTCACCTATGGAGCTGAGTATAACACCTTCATTTATGATGGATATGTGACCTCACAGCATATCCTGAATACACTGCTTTACCACTCCCCATGACCAATCTCTTAAAGATTCTCCCTCATCCATGGGCAGGAGAATCATACACTAGATCACATATATGTCACAAGATTAACTTACCTGGCCTCCCTGTCCTACTTAGCCTGTCCACAGACCTGACTGAATCTTTCAGCTTTTCCTCATTCTTGGACATTGAGTTTGGTATTTTGAACCAAGTATTCAAGAGTCCAGTCTTGGCATGACTACACAATATGATTAAACTAATCATCTCTAGTGAGTCTTAAAATGGCTGTGAAGGTTATTCCAAATAAGGACTTCTGAAATTTTTTGAGCGGAAGTCTTGTTCATTTTGTGAGAAAAGTCATATTCTTGTTCAATTGCCATAACTGGCACACACACACACACAGAATGCTCAGATGTACCAACAAGTCTCGAAACAGTTCAGCACCTCAGGAATGATGCATATTCTTAAAAATTTTTTTTTAAATTTTTTTGCCACACCACACAGCATGTGGGATTGAACCCACGCCCCCTGCATTGGAAGCTCTAAGTTTTAACCACTGGACCACCAGGGAAGTCCTCCACATCTCCTTTTACTTTATTTATGAACAGCTATGTTAGGGTATATTCATCATTGATAACAATAAACTATACATATTAAGTTTTGACATATGTATGCTTAGGTTTATGTCAATCACTTTGCTATTTGTTGTCTATTGGCGCCATCTGTCCTTTGTTCTTTGTTTTTTTCCAGACAGCATCTAAAAAAAATTATTAACTATTTGTTTATTTATTTATTTATTTTGTTGCTGTGTGCAGGCTTTCTCAAGTTGTGGTGAGCAGGGGCTACTCTTTATTATGGTGCACAGGCTTCTCATTGTGGTGGCTTCCCTTGTTGCAGAGCAGAGACTCCAGGACGTGTGGGCTTCAAAAGTTGTGGCACATGAGCTCAGTAGTTGTGGTGCAAGGACTTGGTTGCCCACAGAGTGTGGAATCTTTAGGATCGAACCCGTGTCCCCTGCATTGGCAGGCAGATTCTCATCCACACCAGGGAAGTCCCAAGACAGATTTTGGATTGAGTATTTTCAATTCCAATTTATCTTGTTTGTTGGCTTGTTTTGTTATTTAGTGGGTACTTTATTTAGAGTGAAAAGTGAAAGTGAAAGTCGCCTCCACCTCTTTGCAACCCTCCAGGCCAGAATACTGGAGTGGGTAGCCTTTCCCTTCTCCAGGGGATCCTCCCAACCCAGGGATGAAGCTCAGGTCTCCCACTTTGCAGGCGGATTTTCTACCAGCTGAGCCACAAGGGAAGCCCAAGAACACTGGAGTGGGTGCTGTCCCTTCTCCAGGGGATGTTCCCAACCCCGGAATCAAACTGGGATCTCCTACACTGCAGGTGGATTCTTTACCAACTGAGCTGTCAGGGAAGCCCTTATTTACAGTACACATCTTCAACATGTGTGTGTGTTAGTCGCTCAGTCATGTCCAACTCTTGGCAACCCTATGGACTGTAGCCAGCCAGGTTCCTCTGTCCTCTCTAGGCCAGAATACTGGAGTGGGTAGCCTTCCCCTCCTCCAAGGGATCCTCCCAATCCAGGGATAGAACCCAGGTCTCCTGCATTTCAGCCAGAAGTTTTACCATCTGAGCCACCAGGGAAGCCCATTGGATATTTGGACGGATA